TCCATGGAGATCGTGAAGGTAGCAGACGAGTGTCCCATCCGCTCTTCGTACGCAATTCTGGCCTGGGCGGTTATCCCACCACATCCCTCGTTGCCGTAGAAGGCGGTAGGAGACTAGATTCGTTGCGAATTCTTCGCAGTAAGCGACGTTGTATAAGCGGAGTCTTACCTTCTTCCCCCGCTCAGCGTCAGCCGTTATATCCACGTTTCCATACCCTAGGATTGGGACTTGTAAGGCTCCTGCCCATAGGTAATCCCCTGGTTCAGCTGCTCTGAAACCTGAGAATCGAGCCCGGTTGTTGAACACGTGTAGCGATGATCCTGAGTCGTATATCGCAGAGTTGTGTAAGGGGTACTCAGTCCGGATCATGAACGCAGAACGGTCACTCGTATACTGCTTCCTCTACGATGCGTTGGCTGACCCCATACACCGACCATACAGTCAGGTCTGCTTCGCTTCCTTCTCGCGTTGTTCACGGATCTTCTTCACGCGGTCCGCGAGGTCGTCATCGGCCTTGAGACGCTCGGTGACCTTCTTCATGATGTCGTTGCTAGGCCTCCATCCTTCATACGCTTCCTCTGGGAAGCAGTAGAAGCAGTTGGCAAGTAGGTGTCGTGGCAGATCACATCCGTGACACGTTGGCATCTCGTTTTGGGTCCGCGAATCGGCGGCCCTATGTCGCTTCTTGGTTGTACTCCGAGGCATGGTCTCCTTGGGTCCTTCTCTTGTTGTGGCAAAGGCACCTCTTGAGGCTCTTGGTCCTGTCGATAGGGTATCTGCGTGGATTCGTATATATCGTCGTACTTCCGCAGAGATCTCGCTGATCGAGGGGTTGTCCGACTCGTGGAACTTCGCCTCGAACGTGGCGTGGAACGCAGAAATAGCGGTCTTCGCAATGACCTTTAGGAAGTCCTCGCTCCACTCGCTGAAGTCCCTTGTCTGGGCAAGGTTGACCTCTTGTCCCTTCAACATTGCGGCCTCCCATTGCTCGAGCCAGTTCTCGATCTCGGCCTTCGTGGTTATTCGCTTTGTAGCCGCTTGCTTGACGGTCTTCTCGTACTCCTCACGCGCGGCGCTCTTTTGTTCATTGTTCGAGATCGAGGCCACGCCCTTCAGCTTGACCATCCAGGCGTGGAGGGTCTCCGTAGGTTTACAGCACGCATTGACGTACTTCTCGGCTGCTGTCGATAGGACCCAGTTGCGGAGCTCTCGTAGAGCAGCCGCTTCACGCTCGTAGATACGGATATCATGGTTGTAGTCGCTCCGGAGCTGTACATACTCCTCACGGTCCTCCTTGACAAGGTCTTGGAGGCGTCTAGCCGTCTCGTTCGATCGAACTTCTTCGATATCTGGTGTCTGTGACACCTCGATGATTGATCCGCGGGTATGTCGCGGTATACCTTTCTTCTTGTAGTCGGAGAAGGCCGGAGGCTCCGGCTTCGGCATCCGCTTCTCGGGGTTTTCGGCGCCGGGATCCACTTGCTCCCAGACGTCCAAGTCGGTGGCTTTACCCTGGAAAACCTTATACCAGGTTGGCCATTGACTGGGGTTGTTGAGGACAATGGATTCCATCTTTGCTTATGTCGTTATTGATTCGGGCTTATCGCGTGGGTTTTGAGGGACGTAAACGGGGTGTTCGTGTGTTTTGCAGTTGATCGGATCTTCGAATAGCTTCGTTTTGCCTGTAGGTAGGCCAATTGGTAGGTAATCAGACTGTTAATTGTTCGAATATTCGTAGGCGCACATTCAGGGGTCAATCGTGATGTGTATTGTGCTTCTTCTTTTCCTAAGACCTGTCCGTATCCCTTACGCGCCTTCTTCCGGCGTGTTCCCTGTGACTAAGCGCACCTAGCGCGGTCCTCGGCCAAACATTCCTCCTAGCGCCTTCCTGGCATCCTAGGCGCTCTGCGTGTGCATCGCTTCCAGCGCCCCTGGCCTACCACCCTTTTTGACAGTTTAAGTCGCCAGTGGCGGCCGAAAGATTTAGTGGGGGTGGTAGTTAGATGCAACGGCGCCCGAAACATTCATTCCTATATAGATAGTAATTTTTCAAGACCATATAGTCTTGAAAGAAATAATAAAAAGTATTATATTATTAAGAGAACGCAGAAACTAGAGAAAATTAAAGTAATTCTTCTTTAAAAAATAAATACTAGAAAAAAGTAGTAAGTATATAAAATTATAAAATAAGAAAGTCTATCTTATTACATAATAGTCACGTGATATACCACGTGATATTAAATCTAGAGTTAATAAATTAAGTAAGGAAAAGGAAAAAGAACATTATAAAAGAAAGGATAATATAGAATAAAGTAGTTTTTATTTTAAAAGTATTTAATAAAAATATAATAGTAAAATATATAATCTATAGAATTACTTTTTCTTAACTCTAACCCTATTTACCTTAACTGATAAGTATGGTATGCCACTTCTTGATATAGTTGGCGTCGATGCTTGCCAACGGTCGTTCTGTATTGCGTTTGCATTTCTTAGCGGCGAGGCAGAAGATGACTATACCTGGGCTTTGGAGCGGGTCAAATCCTTGTATAGTCAGTGCAACGCTAGCCTACCTGCGGTTATCCTCACAGATCGCTGCTTAGCATGCATTAACGCTGTTGCAACCATCTTCCCCTCTTCTGCATCTTTGCTTTGCCTCTAGCATGCGAACAAGGCCGTTCTTCAACATTGTAATCCAGCTTTTGACTCTACTAAGCCAAAGACAGTCAACAATCCTGCAGCGCTCAAATCTTCAACTCAGAGCTGGGAAGAATTCTATAACTCCTGGCATTCGATCATCAGCTCGCCATCTGAGGTGGTTTTTGAGGAGCGCGTTTCCCAGTTTGAGGAACGCTATCTTCTGGACCATCTCGAAGAAGTCGGCTATGTTACGTCCGTTTGGTTGAAACCATACAAGGAGAAGCTAGTGAAAGCCTGGGTCGATCAGCATACCTATTTTGGCAATGTGGCTACTTCGCGAGTTGAGGGTATTCATGCACTACTTAAATCGCACTTGAAACGATCCACATTAGACCTTTTTGAAGCTTGGCGAGCAATGAAGCATGCTTTACTAAATCAGCTATCGGATCTAAAGTCAAATCAAGTTAAACAGCAAATACGGATACCAGTTGAGCTTTCAGGGTCAATGTACGGCGCAGTGCTTGGCTGGGTATCGCATGAAGCCTTGCGCAAAGTAGAAGAGCAACGGAAGCTGCTCACGAAGAAAGACACAAATCCTTCCACAGCCTGTACGGGGACGTTTTCTCGAGTATATGGTCTCCCATGCTTACACAAATTGAAGACTTTACAAGAACAGAATCTTGTTCTTCTACGTGAGCACTTCCATGCACATTGGCATTTGAGGCGTGATGGAGCGCCGCAGCTATTGCTGGAGCCTCGCCAGCGCATAGAGCCCAGGTTGCAATTAGAGAATCCCAGTATTCCCAAATCAAGCACTAGACGAGAGCCTAGCGGGTTCGAAGTTGTTGAAGTTGCTTCACGGGCCCCAAGCAAATGCAGTAGGTGTCATACAGTTGGCCATACTATGACTTCAAAGGCGTGCCCTCTGCGATACACGCATTTATTGCCTGAACCGACACCTACTCCAGATCCAGCTACAGTATCAACTGCGATATTTACCGGGACGACGACAGATACACAAGAACCTCCTTCAAACGCCGTGCAGGACGTACCAGAGTTGGTTCAACCGACTATTGCTATAGTGGTAGAGACCAGTATATCACCACCTCGGGTATTATCACCATTTGCGCATTCGCATTCACCTTCGCTGCCAGGATACGATTCACCTCAGGCGATATACGGACGGTACTGTGCAGCAAGAAGCGCCTGGTACGGTGCTCAACCTCGTGGGAGTGTCAAAACAAACCAGGAGTATCGAAGGGCAATGGGACTTCCGCTACGTTATGACAAAAAGTGTTATGAGTGGTGTCTTGACTATAAGCAGATGAAAGGACGCTGCACTACCTCACACGGGTCAAGGGATTGGACGAAGGAGGAGATGATGGCTTATCTGGACTGGGATAGGGCTGAACACAAACGGGTCGATGAGCTGATTATTGCGGAAGATGGACAAAACCCCTTTAAAAACAGTGAGAGAGGTATGAGCGAAGTCTGGAAACGAGTCGAGCAAGATAAGGCAGAGCAGGAGGCGTTATACGCTGGTAGTAAGCCCGAAGAGTGCATCGTAGTAAAGTCGTAAACTTTCCGGATAAGTTTGATGCAGGCCGTGCCTCTCATTGGCTCATGAGCCCCATATCAGAGTTGCTTAGTCATTTCCACGGGTACCCGTGAAATTTTACACGCACGGGTACCCGTGAACCTATTGGGAGCCCGCCAGTGACACTTAATGACTAATCGTGAACTCGGGGAAAGGATGCCTAAAACCTTATATGCTAATCATGCATTCTGCCTTGCCATGCTTTAGTTTGTGGCGTAGCCATATTTTAGATAACCTTTGTTTCCGGCCTGATAGTAACTATAATATAGCTTTTTAAATTAAAATAAATAATCGTATTATTAATAGCTATCTTAATATATTAAAAGAGGGTATTTTACTTACTAAATTATTAATAAACTCTACTCTAATATTTTTAATAAGCTCTACCCCTATTAGAGTAGAGTTCGTTATCTATAGTATATTAGGATAAACTAATAAGGAAACTAGTTATCTATTAATCTATATATCTATCTTTAGAAGAAGTTTTAGTAGAAGTACTAAGGGAAGTAGCTATCGGCTTTATAGCCGTTTGCCGGTCTGCCTGTTACGTGGGCAGCCTGGGTGCCGGCAGGACTGCTGGCGACGGTTAGACTTCAACCCGGAGTTCCGGAGTTCTGGTGATTCAACATAAACCTTGATCGGAACCCCGCAAAATAAAATCTGGAACGGCTCCCAAAGCTTGTTCCTCTCCCTGTTGTTCTACATTACATCACGATGTCTAATCGTGTTCACCTTTGCGGATACCACCCCCGCTAAGGCTTGAAAAATGTGGCCGCCACGACCAAGCTCAGCCATAGCGATCGAGACACACGAAGGATATCTCGTGGAAGTATGGGTAAGGACTTTGAGGATGACGACAGTCGGGAATTGAGGGGATGTGATTAATAGACACTAATGGGTTTACAGACTTGGTATGCAATTGGCATGGTAATCATTGGTCTTCGCCATGTTGTGCGCCTTCGAACGGTGGGCTTCAGAGGATACCATGGCGATGACTACCTCTCTTTCCTTGTAAGCACATTCACTAGATGTTTTCGATTAAATATGCGACCCATCAAACCTAGCCAGGACTAACCATATCAACCTGACTGACATAGTGCATCCTCTTATACACTGTCGATAGTACAATGGGCTATTTCGCTTACTACGCAGGGGGAAACATCAACGTCAAGCCGCAGCAGGTTGATTCACTCAGTGACGAAGACGTCAGGATCCTCGAGATGGGCAGCAAAATGGAGTTCGTCACATGGTACACCTATCCCGGCTTCGTCTGGGTATTGAAGTTCAGCATCCTCTTTTTCTACCGACGCGTCATGCAGGGCCTAATAAAAGACCGGACAATCAACTTCCTCTTCCTCTTTTGCGGGCTGACCTGGGTAGCGCTCATCGCGACCGTGAGCTCTACATGCAGGCCCTTCCACGACAACTGGACGGTGCGCCCCCTGCCCGGCGAGCACTGCATCTTTCGGGCACAGAACTTTTACGCCCTGGCCGTGCTCAATGTCATCACCGACGCCTTCATTCTAATCATCCCGGCCCCGATGCTCTGGCACCTCCGGGTACCGGTGTGGAAGCGCGTCGGCGTCACCTGCCTTTTATGCGGCGGCCTCTTTGTTATCGCGGCGGCCATCATCCGCGCCGCGTTGACGCTCACGGCAGCGCCGAGCGTCCTCACCATCAACATATGGGGTTACAGGGAGACCGTCATAGCGCTGCTGGCCGTCACGACCCCGGTGTTATGTCCACTGTTCAGGCCGGGGTTCTGGAAGCGAGGGGCGCTCATTTTCAGGCCGGTCGATGCACTGCACCGCGAGGCCGAGGAGGAGCTCGGGGTAATAGAGAGGAGAAGGCGGAGGCTCTTCTCTTCGAAAAGAAAATGGGACTTTGGAAGCAGTCTGAAGACGTCTTACCTGTCGGTCAAGTCGAGCAAGAGGTCCGCCATCATGACCACCACCACAGTGCGCCACGTGGAATCAGATGTTGAGGCCGCTGCTCTACAGACTCGCGCGGAAGGTAATCAGGGCCTAGGTAGTGGTGACGCGAGTAGGGTTCTAGAGAGTGATGCGCGCACTGGGATGGACTTCATTACCGGCTCCTCTCTTCTAACTAGAAGCAAAGAGAATATAAACTTGTCGCGGCCTCAAAATAGTAAAAACTAGAAAATCAAGCACGAATTATCTTATTATTAGTCTAGTATAACGTACATGATAAGCGAGTGAGACAGACAAGCGAGTGAGACAGTAAACCGCGACCGTCGCACCTTGACGCGACCGGCACCTTTTCCTCTACAATAAATCATGGAATCAGCTAGTATTGAAAGAAGGTTACAAATTGCCCTTCAAGCAATGAGAAATGACCCAAAACTTAGTGCTCGGGCCGCAGGTGCACTCTATACAGTCAGTCACGCAACATTAAGCCGGCGACTAAAGGGAATAGTCTCACGACGCGACAGCATGCCTAATTCACGGAATTTATCAGATTTAGAAGAGAAGACAATAGTTGAGTATATTCTCGACCTAGATGCGCGATCATTTCCTCCCCGGCTGAGTGGTGTGGAAGAAATGGCCAATCGACTTCTCGCAGAGCGCGACGCGCCTCCAGTTGGGAAGCGCTGGGCTTCTAATTTCGTCAAGCGACAACCACAGCTTAGGACGCGTTTCTTTCGCAAGTATGACTATAAGAGAGCTCAATGCGAAGATCCAGAGGTGATTCGTGGCTGGTTTTCGCTTGTGAAGAATACAATTGCGAAGTATGGTATTGCTGATGCTGATATCTACAACTTTGATGAGACCGGCTTTATGATGGGCGTTATTGCTTCTGGAATGGTTGTTACAAGTGCTGAAAGGCGTTCAAATACGAAGATGACACAGCCTGGCAATAGGGAATGGGTTACAGTTATCCAGGCTATTAATTCCCAAGGGGAGAGCATCCCGCCATACATCATCGTTGCAGGCCAGTATCACCTCTCAAGCTGGTATACAGAAACCTCTCTTCCGGGCGATTGGGCTATTGCAACGTCTGAAAATGGATGGACAACAAACGAGAGAGGTATTGACTGGATCAGACACTTCGACATTTATACAAAACCACGTACGTCTGGGAAATATCGCCTCCTCGTTGTTGATGGTCATGAAAGTCACCACTCCGCAGCCTTCGAGCTCTTTTGTCAAGAAAACAACATTATTACACTGTGCATGCCGGCTCACTCGTCTCATCTACTTCAACCCTTAGATGTTGGTTGTTTTCAGCCGTTAAAGAATGCCTACGGTCGGCAAATTGAGAATAAGATGCGGCGAGGCACAACCCATATCTCGAAGGAAGATTTCTTTGCAGCATTTCACGAAGCTTTTAAGCAGTCTTTTACGAGGAAAAATATCCAGGGAGGTTTCCGAGGAGCTGGACTTGTCCCTTTGAATGCAGAAAGTGTTCTCTCAAAGCTGGATGTAAAGTTCCGAACGCCAACGCCTGAGGAGGGGGTCCCTCAGACACCAGACCCTTGGATCTCTAGGACGCCGAGCAACCCAAGCGAAGCAAGATCACAGTCTACTTTTATTAAGAGTCGAATCTCACGCCACCGAAGCAGCTCTCCAGCATCAATTTATAGTGCTGTGAGTAAGCTAGCCAGAGGGACAGAAGGACTAGGGCATCGGGTAGCATTACTAGAGTCAGAGGTTCAAATCCTTCGAGAGGAGAATGCAATATTAAGTCGGCGTCGAAGGGCTAAGAAAACACGTCTACAGAAAGGAGGAAGTCTTACTATATCTACTGGAGAGGATATACAGTCGCAAAGAGAGGCAGACACGCAACTACAAGAGGAAACGCGACGGAGTAGTGGTCGCAAAGTGAGGTCTGAGACGACTCATCGTCGGTGTGGCGTATGCGGGAATACAGGCCACAACGCGAGAACATGTCAATTTATTGAGGAAACATCCGAAGAACAGGAATCCGAGTAGTATTAATCAATCTAAGATTTCTTGTTATAGATTTCGATATTATTGTCGCGAAGGTCTGGTTTACTGTCTCACTCGCTTGTCTGTCTCACTCGCTTATCATATACGTTAGCGTAATAAATAAATTAATAGTATACTTTCCTATCTAGGTTTGTCTTAATAATAGATCTCTTAAATTTATAAGATAGTAGGTATACTTAGTTGTCTAGCTAGCCGGGAACTATCGAAGAACCTTTAAGTAGGTACTTTAGTCCTAATCTATATATAAGTCTTTATAATCTTAAGGTAGATTCTAATAAGCGCTCGCAATATATAATAAGTGCTTATTACTAAGGATAAGTACTCGTTATCTTAGCTAGGTGCTTATTATTATATTTTATCTTAACGTAAATTATATAATAGTTCTTCTTTTCCGAGGCTCCCCTATTATCTTAGCCCGTGTCCTATATATGAATGCCCTGCCTTAGCTACTAGCTAGAGTAGGTGTGTTAACTGTTACGGCCAGCTATCTGACAGTAGGGTTCTGCTAACAGAAGGTGCAGTAAGAGACTAACACTGGTTCGTAGAGGTCGTTCTGGTAGATCGTAGGGTTAGGGTAAGGTGATCAGTCTTACACTATGGTAACGAGGTTCTTAGTATTCACAATACTGAGAGGTAAGCTGAAAGTCATTCGAGGATGAATCACAAGTTGATTGCTGAAGAACTATCTAGAAGGCTTAAGCAGATGCTCAAGTCCTGGTCTATATACAAGTCCCGTTTCCCAATGTCTTAGAGAGTCTATAGAGTCGCTCGTCGACTCTATCGACTCTCTTCTGATTGGTCCTTTACAGGAGTCTACAGAGTCGCTCGTCGACTCTGTCGACTCTGTCCTGATTGGTCGATTGTCACGTGACTTGTAACGTAGTTCTTCCTTGCCGAGAGGTTTACCCTTGTTCCCGTGATCCTACGTACATATGTCCTGTCGTAGCCGCCCGACCCAGTGGGTCTGTTAAGTGCATCTGACGGGTCGTAACATCAGGTCTCCCCTCGATGGTCTTGTCCTCAAGGCCAACATAAGTAGGTCGTGGCTTCCCAGGTTGGGGAGTCGTCAATCGTGCTTCCTTGTTTATTCATAATGCTGACATCATGTCAGGTCGCGTTCAAAAATCCAAATCAAAGAACCCTGTGGCTTATAAGGAACTTAGCCAGCTTGTCGATTTGTTCGGGTTCATCATGCCTGTCCCTTGTTCCGGTTGCGCGGCTGCCGGTGTCGACTGCGTCGTTTCCGAAGTTAATTCTTCTCGTTGTTCGCGTTGCGTTGCCGATAAGCATTCTTGCGACATTCACGGTCCTTCCGCGGCTTCCCTCATTCGGGTTCGGCAACAGAAAATAAAAATTGATGATGAGCTTGAGAAAGCTGAAGAAGAGCAGTTAGCTCTTATGGCGAAGATTCTTCGTTTACGAAGGCGTCGCAAGGACATCAATCGTGAGGCGACTGATCTCATTCGATCTGGTTTGCGGCGTGTGGAGGAGGTTGAGAATGAGTATCGTTCCGAGGTTCTTGGTTTGCAGAGTGCTAGCTCGGAAACTATAGGTGCACTTCATTCCCTGGGTGCTATTGGCGTTATAGATTAGTCTGGCGTCGGTTTGGACGACTGGGGTCCAGAGACGTCCTCTAGTGCCAGTATTGTTGGAGTTCTTCCTGAGCGTGTTCCAGGTTCTTAGCTGGTTCCCACGAATCGTCTTCGTGTCCATAGTTTTTCCACTTAATGAAGTATTCTGTTGTTTCGTCATTCCTCCGGTAGTCTAGAATGCGTTCTACTTCGTATTCGGTATCATCTGTTTCCACAATGATGCAGTCTTCGGTGTGTATACCGTCCGGTGCTGGTTCTAATAATGAGACGTGAAAGACTAGGTGACATTTCATTGTTTCCGGTAGTTTCAACTCGTAGTTGACTTCGGAAATTTTCTTCGTGATTTCGAAAGGTCCTAGTTTTTTGAAGTCGAGTTTGTCGCTAGGTCGTTTCGTTTTGATGTTTCGCCGTATGAGGTAGGCGCTACCTCCCTCTTTTAGGGGTGGGCCTCTCACCCTATGTCGGTCGGCGTGTTTCTTCATTCTTTGCCGTACGAATTCGAGTTCTTGGGGTAGTTTTTGTTGGATTTCCTTAAGTTTCTTGATGTCTGCTACTGCTTTTATCGCGGCAGAGCCGGTTCGGGGTTCTCCATAAGCGGTAGGGTTGAATCCATAGTTGAGGAAGAAAGGTGATTCTCGCGTGCTTTCTCCTATTGAACTGTTGTATGCGAACTGTGCGGTTGGTAACAACTTGACCCAGTTGTCCTGGTCGTAGTTCACATAACTCCTTAGGTACGTTTCCAGGATCTGGTTGATTCTTTCCGTTTGTCCGTCGGACTGCGGGTGGAAGGCAGTGCTGAGGCTGTGCTTTGCTCCGAGCTGCGAGATCAGGGATCTCCAGAACTTGGACGTAAAGACTGATCCTCTGTCTGATACTATTTCCTGGGGCAGGCCGTGTTGGCTGACAATGATCCTGAGAAAGGTGTATGCTAAGTCTTCTGCCGTGCTTGATTCCAAGTATGGTATGAAATACGCGTACTTCGTGAATCTATCCACAACTACTAGTATACTGTCGTACTGTACTTTAGTGAGTGGTTCTCTCGATTTTGGTAGTTTGACGATAAAGTCTAGAGAGATTGAGTGCCAGGGTGCTGGTGGTGCTAGCAATGGTTGTAATTCTCCATATGGTTTATGTCTGCTAGGCTTACTTTTTGCGCAGACTTCGCAATCCTTGATTACGTCAGCGACGTCTTTTCTTGTTACTCGCTTGTCGTGGTGTTGTCTAATTCGTTTCTAGGTTTTCGTAACTCCTTGGTGACCGTGAGCGGGTGCGCTGTGTATCTCCCTGATCTGGTCGTGTGTCATTCTTCCAGTCGTGCTGGTCTTGACACGGTCGCCGATCATTAAGAGTTTCGCGGCGGGTACGAGGTCGCCATTGTCTTTTTTGAGGATAACCTGAGTTTCTTCTGGGACTTCGTCCTTGTAATCGGGTCTTCGGCTGAGCGCGTCTGCTCTGCCGTTTTCTGATCCTTTCCTGTAGATGATTCTGAAGTTGAATTCTGAGAGGAATTCTGACCATCTGATTTGTCGTTTGTTGAGCTCTTTCGAAGTGGTGAAGTGTGCCAGATTCTTGTGATCCGTGTACACTTTTACTTCGTACTTTGTTCCTGATAGTTGGGGTCTCCATTCTTTGAATGCGTCGATAATTGCCATAAGTTCCTTATCATGGATCTGGTAATTCAGTTCAGGTCCTTGGAACTTCCTTGAAAAGAATCCACAGGGGTGTAGGACTCCGTTCTCGTCCCTTTGGCCTAGCTGCGCTCCTTCAGCTTCGTTCGAAGCATCCGTTTCGAGCTCGAAGGGCTTCTCAGGGTTCGGAATCTGGATGACGGGTTCCGATGTGACCTTGTCCTTGACTTCTTGGAACGCTTTCTGTTGTTTGTCTGTCCATTCCCAAGGTGCATTTTTCTTAGTGAGTTCGGTAAGAGGCAATATCGTTTTGGAGTAGTCTTTGAGGAATTTTCGGTAGAAGTTGACAAATCCTAAGAAGGATAGTATGTCCTTCGGGTTTTCTGGTGTAGGCCATTCTTGCACAGCCTTGATTTTGTTAGGGGACATCTTGATTACGCCTGGCGTGATTGTGAACCCTAAAAATTCTACTTCCTGTTTGTGAAACAGACTCTTCTCTGGTTCCACAAGTAGCTTCGCTTGTTCGAGTGCTTTGAGAATCTCGTGGACATGCTTCTTGTGTTCTTCCAACGTTTTGGAGAATATAAGGATGTCGTCGAGGTACACAACAACAGACTTGTCCAGATATTCCCGTAGTACTTGGTTGATCATAGTTTGGAATGTAGCCGGTGCGTTGGTGAGTCCAAATGGCATGACTAACGTTTCAAACTGTCCTCTTCTCGTTCGGAAGGCTGTTTTCCACTCATCTCCTTCTGCAATTCGGATAAGGTTGTAGGCTCCTTTAAGGTCCAAGGCTGTGAACCATTGGGCCTCGTAGAGTAGGTCTCTTAGTTCCGATATGAGGGGCAGTGGGTAACAGTCTTTGATCGTAATATCGTTGAGTCGTCGATAATCGACACAAAGTCGTTTCTTCCCGTTCTTCTTTGGTACGAATAGTACGGGGTATCCTGCGGGTGATTTCGAAGGTCTGATGAATCCTTTCGCAAGATTTTCGTCAAGCCATTCGTCTAAGGCTTTCATTTCTTCTTGGTTGAGTGGGTATATTTTGTTAAAGGTGGGTTCGTGTCCTTCCTTAATTTCGATCTTGTGATCCCACTTGCTGTGTTCCGGTAATCCGGTCTCGAGTTCTGGTGCAAAGAGTTTGCTGTAGACCCTGTATTCAACAGGTATCTTTGACATTGGATCTTCCGTGACTTTGTCAATCGTCGTGGCTGCTAGCGTCCTAGTGCCAATGTCTTTTATCCTTAGCATCAGGCGTGGTCTTGCTCTGGTTGCTGCTAGTAATCCGCATGAGGCCTTCGTCGAGTGCTTCTCAGAGGCTGGATTGAATTTTATTCGGCCGGTAACCCAATCGATTTGTGGGTTATGTCTTCGTAGCCATGGAATTCCGAGGATAACGTCGTGGTTTCCTATCTCCGTGATGTCGAGGCTGATAAGCTCCTGATGGCCATGGTAGAGCAAAGGGAGTTGCGCTGTCTCCTGATCAATGCTGCCTCCGCCATACTCGACTTCTTTCCCTTCCACATTCCTTAGTCGGTAAGGGTTTTGCTTCTGATTCCATGGTATTTCTCGCTGTTGCACTATTCGGGGTGCGATAAAGTTTCCTTGGGCTCCTGAGTCTATCAGGACCTGTGTGGTGTATCCGCCCAGGTTTACTGTGATCTTCATTTGTGCGTCGTCGTCGAATGTAGCACATAGGGACTTGCTGGGGGAGCTCGCCATGTGTCCCGGACAAGGCGGCTCTCCTAGTTTTTTGAGTAGAGGGCCTTCTCGCCCTTCTTTCGGTCTCTGCCGAGGTTACTTTCTCTGATTCCTAGACGAGGTGGGCTGGGCGTCTCGCCGTCCTGTCCTTGCTTGTCTAGTTCTTGTTGTCGGAATCTCCAACTTTCGCTTTTTGGAATGTAGTGGAGTTTGCATAGGTCTTCCCTGCAATTCCACCAGACTCCCGTGAAGTGGTTCACACACTTCTGAGGGTATTCGACGCTGGGTCGTAGGAATGCTATTCCATTGTTGTTGGTTTTCCATTCTCCGGGTTCTCCCCGTACTTCCCAATATAAGAGTTCTTGTTCCTCATGGGCTCTGCGGATTCGCAGTTCTTCTTTTCTTTTGGGGTATAGTTCGTTTTCTGCTTTCTTTGAGAGATGGTAGGCGCAGTGATCGAAGATGCAGTAGATCCATGCTATCTCCTTGTGTTCTCTGTGCTGTGTCGTAATCCTGGGATCGTCTTCCAAGAATATTTCTTCATCCCGGGTTTGTGTGATTGTTGTAGGGATTTTGTTATGATATTCTTCTGCATGGAAGGCGATCTGTTGGCAGTCGTCTTGGGGGTCGATGTATTTGTATTCTAGTACTTCCTTAATTTTTTCCATTCTGTCGAGATGGTGTTCTTCTTCTGCGTCTTCCGGGTCGGTATCGTCTATCGACGTTCCTTGTGGACGTACTTCCGCCGAGGGTGGTCCGTCTACGACGTCTTCAGCCCATTCCGAGATGGGTTGAGGAGTAGCGCGGGTTCTTTGTGGCAATTCAAAGGTCGAGTCGCTGGCTACCGTGGTATATGGTGAGCTCCATCGTTGGCTTAGGTTGTCCTTTGCTTGGTATACTCGGGTCTGGGTGCTGGCGTCCCTGAATTGTTGTTGTCTCAGCATTTCATCCAATTGCTCGGTGGCTTTGCGGGCGTATTTGCTGGCTACCGCGAGGGTTCGTTCCGTCTTTCCATCGTTTTGGGGTCGGTAGACAAATTGGGTTGCTTTGTACTTGAGTTGATACTGTCCTCGGGTGTTTCCGCGTAGTGCGATGCGGCGGTCTCGGGTTTTCCGCATGTGTTGGAGGGTGTCTCCAACTTCGCTGTTGTTTCGAATTTGCATCGTGTAGTTGATGGCGTCTTGTATCCGTTTGATGGCTGTCTCGTTTTCTTCTTCGAGTTTCCTGGCTTCTTCTTCTGAGAGACTTTCCGGGGTGTTTACTTCATTCGTCTGTCGATAGTTGGCGAGGCGTGGGATGTCCCATAAGAGTCCCGGTTGGTACACAATGCTACCATCTTGGAAGGCGTTGTTGAGTTCCGCGGCCTTCTTCGCTTGTTCCCAGTCGTCGAGTGGCTCTTGTCGCTGCTTAGTGTAATCCGGTCCACCGGTGTATCGGTCTATCACAGCAATGGCCTTGGGTATGTTGGTGGTGTCGTATCCCGATCGTCCTGCTGGGTTTTGAGGGTACCATCCACTATTCTCTTTTGCATGCCTGTGCGTAGTGCAATCATTGTCATAGCAGGCTGTCCATCCCTTTTCTTCGTGGCTAGGGATTTTGGTTGCAGCGTTGGCTTGCTTAGGGGTTGCCGTAAGTTTCTTAGGCTGTATGCAGTGTCTGGCCATGTGTCCTGGCTTGTCGCAGTTGTAGCATTTGAATTCTCTGCGTCTGGGTTTGTCTTTTTGCGCGACGCTCAGGTCCATGGGTCCACTGTGTTGTCCATGTGCGGTGCTCTGCTGATTGTTGTTCCTGTTGTTCTGGTTTTTGTTGTTGAACTTGTGTTGAGGTTGCCATTGGTATTTCTTTCCTAAGTTGGCTGTTTGACGTTTTTCTCCTTTTTCCTTGCGTCGTTCAAACAGTCGGTTGTCAATCTTAATGGCGTATTCGACATAATCAAGGAAGCTAGGTGGCGTGTCCACTTTGGCCATTTCGTCCTTGACGTCGTCCTTGAGACCCTGGTAGAAAGCGAAGACTTTGCTTTCGTCGGTCATGTCGAGTCTGGCTGCGAGTCGTCGAAATTCTGCGGCGTACATTGTAGCTGATTTGTTTTGTCGTAGGCTCGCCAGTTCTCTTTCTGCTTGTCTTTTCTCATCGGGGTCTAAGAAGAGAGATTGAAGGGCTTTAACATATCCACTGAAGCTGAAAAAGATGTCCTTCACTTCTTGACTGTATCTCTCGATAGGGGTGTCCAGCCATTCTTGTTGGAGGGGTTCGAACCAAGCGAGGGCCTTCCCTCTCAAGAAGGTGGCGGCGTGGACGACACGTTCGGTATCGTTCTGGAACGTGTTGATGTGGAAGGCTTGGTAGGTCCGTATCTGTACCAAGTATCCTTTGAGCTGTCCAGGGGTTCCGTCGAAGGTGGTAGGGGTGTTGAGCTTAAGGCGTTCTCTTCCTTCGACAGGAGCTGATATGACGTTCGCGGCAGCTCGAAGGGTTGTGACTTCCTTCTCTAGTTCTTTGGTGCGGCGGGCTTGTTCCTGTAGCTCCTTGAGGGCTTTGACGTTCTGGTTGAACAGGTTTTTCATTTCCCTGAGCTCGTTGTTGTTCCGCTCAAGTTGCCGCTTAAGTTCTTCATTGTCGTCATCGCTATCGGATTCCTCCTTCATTTCCTGGTCTTGAATCTCTTGGGCCAGATTCTGGGGAATACGTCTCTCGGACGTGGACGAGGTTCCAGGAGTAGGGTTTTCGGTAGTTCCGTGCGAAGACATCTTGTCTTATACTGTTCGTTAGTCTCAAAGGGCAACTTACTGAACAGGAGCAATCAAAGTGTTACGGCCAGCTATCTGACAGTAGGGTTCTGCTAACAGAAGGTGCAGTAAGAGACTAACACTGGTTCGTAGAGGTCGTTCTGGTAGATCGTAGGGTTAGGGTAAGGTGATCAGTCTTACACTATGGTAACGAGGTTCTTAGTATTCACAATACTGAGAGGTAAGCTGAAAGTCATTCGAGGATGAATCACAAGTTGATTGCTGAAGAACTATCTAGAAGGCTTAAGCAGATGCTCAAGTCCTGGTCTATATACAAGTCCCGTTTCCCAATGTCTTAGAGAGTCTATAGAGTCGCTCGTCGACTCTATCGACTCTCTTCTGATTGGTCCTTTACAGGAGTCTACAGAGTCGCTCGTCGACTCTGTCGACTCTGTCCTGATTGGTCGATTGTCACGTGACTTGTAACGTAGTTCTTCCTTGCCGAGAGGTTTACCCTTGTTCCCGTGATCCTACGTACATATGTCCTGTCGTAGCCGCCCGACCCAGTGGGTCTGTTAAGTGCATCTGACGGGTCGTAACATTAACCCTCTGTTAGGCATAACGAACGGGTCGCAATATATGGCGATGGGTTAGGTAGAAAATGTCTACTACTTCTTGGCAGCAGCGCAGGCGGATTCACCTTGACGACTGCGGCTTACATTAGGGTATATTTTATTAATCACGAGTATTATGGGGACGATGGCGAGCTGATGCTAAATACCGTGACTGGAATCATTATAGGTGCTACCGGGTCTATAACCATCGCGCCTACAGCTAGTAGATTTAGTACCTAGTCAAAACTTTTGTGTGTGCGTTTTCGGGTGTAGCTTAGAGCTGATGTCTCTAGTAAACTATGTCTAACGAGAGCTATAAGTTTTGATGGAAGTCCTAGCTGGCCCGGTAAGAGCGGAACTAGAGGTCTACCTCCTTATCCTCCTAGCAACGGGATACCCGTACATGTTTATAAAGTATGCCTTCACGGGCTATCTCTATAGCACAGTCTCCAAAATTACTAGCACGTATTTGTATTTAGCTAATAAAGAAATTCCTAGCGTTATTTGAAATAGGCCGTTATGGAAGCGACTTTGTCAAAGGTGAAGGAGGTTTCTCTTTGACTTTTACTGCAAAGCTGTTCCGGATGCGGAGAATTGGCCACTACGCAGCCCCCAAGCTACGGGAGTGCCCGATTCCATCTTGGCCTGGACCGTTGAAATTTATAAGAAGAAAGCATCTCAAAGAACTAGCCTTTGTAGTATTTGACATCTTGAAGTCAAACAATACAATATAAAGAGAGGTCATTGAGAATTATCTATTCCATCCCCTTTATATCGTTCATTAACAACCACACCAGAATTAAATAACGTACATGATAAGCGAGTGAGACAGACAAGCGAGTGAGACAGTAAACCGCGACCGTCGCACCTTGACGCGACCGGCACCTTTTCCTCTACAATAAATCATGGAATCAGCTAGTATTGAAAGAAGGTTACAAATTGCCCTTCAAGCAATGAGAAATGACCCAAAACTTAGTGCTCGGGCCGCAGGTGCACTCTATACAGTCAGTCACGCAACATTAAGCCGGCGACTAAAGGGAATAGTCTCACGACGCGACAGCATGCCTAATTCACGGAATTTATCAGATTTAGAAGAGAAGACAATAGTTGAGTATATTCTCGACCTAGATGCGCGATCATTTCCTCCCCGGCTGAGTGGTGTGGAAGAAATGGCCAATCGACTTCTCGCAGAGCGCGACGCGCCTCCAGTTGGGAAGCGCTGGGCTTCTAATTTCGTCAAGCGACAACCACAGCTTAGGACGCGTTTCTTTCGCAAGTATGACTATAAGAGAGCTCAATGCGAAGATCCAGAGGTGATTCGTGGCTGGTTTTCGCTTGTGAAGAATACAATTGCGAAGTATGGTATTGCTGATGCTGATATCTACAACTTTGATGAGACCGGCTTTATGATGGGCGTTATTGCTTCTGGAATGGTTGTTACAAGTGCTGAAAGGCGTTCAAATACGAAGATGACACAGCCTGGCAATAGGGAATGGGTTACAGTTATCCAGGCTATTAATTCCCAAGGGGAGAGCATCCCGCCATACATCATCGTTGCAGGCCAGTATCACCTCTCAAGCTGGTATACAGAAACCTCTCTTCCGGGCGATTAGGCTATTGCAACGTCTGAAAATGGATGGACAACAAACGAGAGAGGTATTGACTGGATCAGACACTTCGACATTTATACAAAACCACGTACGTCTGGGAAATATCGCCTCCTCGTTGTTGATGGTCATGAAAGTCACCACTCCGCAGCCTTCGAGCTCTTTTGTCAAGAAAACAACATTATTACACTGTGCATGCCGGCTCACTCGTCTCATCTACTTCAACCCTTAGATGTTGGTTGTTTTCAGCCGTTAAAGAATGCCTACGGTCGGCAAATTGAGAATAAGATGCGGCGAGGCACAACCCATATCTCGAAGGAAGATTTCTTTGCAGCATTTCACGAAGCTTTTAAGCAGTCTTTTACGAGGAAAAATATCCAGGGAGGTTTCCGAGGAGCTGGACTTGTCCCTTTGAATGCAGAAAGTGTTCTCTCAAAGCTGGATGTAAAGTTCCGAACGCCAACGCCTGAGGAGGGGGTCCCTCAGACACCAGACCCTTGGATCTCTAGGACGCCGAGCAACCCAAGCGAAGCAAGATCACAGTCTACTTTTATTAAGAGTCGAATCTCACGCCACCGAAGCAGCTCTCCAGCATCAATTTATAGTGCTGTGAGTAAGCTAGCCAGAGGGACAGAAGGACTAGGGCATCGGGTAGCATTACTAGAGTCAGAGGTTCAAATCCTTCGAGAGGAGAATGCAATATTAAGTCGGCGTCGAAGGGCTAAGAAAACACGTCTACAGAAAGGAGGAAGTCTTACTATATCTACTGGAGAGGATATACAGTCGCAAAGAGAGGCAGACACGCAACTACAAGAGGAAACGCGACGGAGTAGTGGTCGCAAAGTGAGGTCTGAGACGACTCATCGTCGGTGTGGCGTATGCGGGAATACAGGCCACAACGCGAGAACATGTCAATTTATTGAGGAAACATCCGAAGAACAGGAATCCGAGTAGTATTAATCAATCTAAGATTTCTTGTTATAGATTTCGATATTATTGTCGCGAAGGTCTGGTTTACTGTCTCACTCGCTTGTCTGTCTCACTCGCTTATCATGTACGTTATTCTTTTCAATAATTGTTATTCCTTCACTTTTTGAAGACACGCTCTTTTCAATGCATTCTCTTACTAGTACCGCAATTACATTATTTGTCGCACTCAGTAATGCAGCCACTCTCCCTAAAAGGGTCCAAGCTCCTACAGGCAATTCTGCTCTAACGTCGGTTGGCAAGTATAGCGGCTGCTATATCGACGCTGTTGGAAACAGACAGCTAGCCCGCGCCAGCTATGTCGATTACAAGGAAATGACCCAACAAACATGCATCTAATTCTGTAAAGATAAGGGATTTCCCTTAGCTGGTCTTGAGTTTGCTTCCGAATGTTACTGCGATTATAGCTTAGGCTCAATTGCTTCGAAGCAAAACGATACGGATTGCGCCTCCACCTGTACTGGCAACAAGAATCAGGTTTGTGGTGGCGCCAACAGACTCTCAGTTTTCTCTACGACAATCAACACGGCCGCTCCTGTCGTCAACCCTGGCCCCGCTGGCTGGGCCTCTGTCGGCTGCTACAACGATAATATTCCCGGTCGAGCTCTTGCTTACCGCTATGGAGTAGCTGCTGGCGACAGTGCTATGTCTGTACTTCAATGCACTAACGCCTGCCAAGCTGCTGGCTTCGCTTATGCCGGAGTTGAGTACTCCTCAGAATGCTACTGCGATAACAGCATTCTGACTGGAGCTAAGCCTGCGTCTAATTGTAATATGCTCTGTTCTGGTAACAATACAGAGTATTGCGGCGGTCCTGATAGAGTCAATATCTACCAGTCTAACAGCAAAGCAAAAACTGCGGGCATCATTCCCTCCGGATGGACGGCCCAAGGCTGCGTCAAGGACAACGTTCAGGGCCGGGCTCTTCCCATGCCTATAGCTGTTGTAGGCGGCCCAGCAGGAATGACCATCGAGGGCTGTGTTATTGCCTGTTTAGCCGCTGGCTATACGGTTGCCGGCGTTGAATATGCACAGGAGTGCTGGTGCGGAAACACTATTCAAAACGGAGGCGTAGCCACACTTCCAGGCGACGGTTGCAATATGCCGTGTAGGGGCAACACTATTGAAACCTGCGGTGGTTCTAACCGTTTAAACGTCTACGCTAACTACCCCCTAAATCTGGTCGTTCCTTCCAGCTCTGCTTCAACGGTCACCTCAAATATTCTATCGCTAACAACGCAAACCTCATCTTCATCTTCATCATCTCCTCTCACCATCTCCACTACTTTATCATCCCAAGCCTCTTCTGGTTCTTCCTCAATATCCTCCACTAGTACTGGCACAAGCACCAGCACTACATCAACAATTTCGAGCATAATTACTAGTTCTTCAACTACGACTTCATCAATATCGATCACACTTACTAGCAGTAGTAGTAGCAGCAACACCACTATATCTACAGTTCGAAGCACAACTACTAGTTCTTCCACTTCTACTTCGTTTAAATCAACCACTCAAAGCACCAGTTCATCTATCACCTCTCTTAGAGTCAGTACTAGCTCTTTATCTAGCACTTCCTCTACATCTACGTCGGCTCGCTCAACCTGTTCCCCAACAAGTAAGTTGTTACCTTGCATTGCGTTTTTAATTTTGCTAACTTTTGGGGAGTTAATGGTGGGCCCTATCTACAAAATTCCGAATTTGAGAATGGCATCATTGGCTGGGAAGGGGATCTTGATAAGATGACCATTGTCGGCGGCGGCCTCCAAAATTCCGGTTGCAAGGCAGTGTAAGTACCGCTATCTTCTTCTTCCCTTGTTTCCTGTCCTTCCTAGCTGACAAAGCTTTCTAGCATGCTGGATGTACCCGACAACATAAGTGCAATGATTATATAAACAATCCAAGCGCCAAATATTCAGAAGGCAAAGAAACTTACTATAATTGCCGGTAGGAGGAACGACACGCCGGATTCACTATTTGGGCCTGCAATCGCAATCAGCTTTAACGGCAATTATGGTGGCGATGAAGTTAATCTATGTGGGTACTCTACCGACGACCCATGCAACCAGATTATTACTCCTCTCGCAAAGTACAATAAGTACGAATGGATACTCCCCGGCGGTATAGGTGCATCAGGTGAAAACGATAACAAGCTAAACCTCATGATAAATTACTCAGAGTATAGCAACAGACGCTATATGAACGCTCCATTATTAATCGACAGTATTACTTTTGTAGATATCTAAATATACTATAGAAGTATAGGGCAGGTCTTAGAAAAGATTCAAAGTATAAGAGTCAGGGAGGAAAAGCAAAGCAGAAGTATATAAGAATGAGTATAAAATAGAGCTTTAGCAGACGTGTTAAAACATAAAGACATAGGAAAGATAAAGGCTAAAGATTTATTAGATAGGGTAATAGTGAATAGCAATTTGCAATATTAAGATGCTAAACAATAGTAAGAGTTTTTAAAAACAGTAAACCGCCGGAACCGAGCATATTAGGTAGGTCTAGGGAGGTGAAGACTACCTAACTAAGCTTAATGCTAGTTACTTAATAAATACAAAGTAGACTACAGGTAGTAAAAGGGTAAGGAAAGTAAAAGCGTCACAGCCTTATCGTAAGCAGTCCGCCTGGGCGCGATCACGACTTGACACCCTAGATTTAGGCCTTGTCTTACCAATTATTATCCTCCCAGGCCTTCTTGACCTCATCCCCCCCCTTCTCTCTGACTTCCTTCACCATAGCGGCCACTTCGTCTTGAGACGCGGTGGATTCATGCCCTTGATATCCTGGAACGCCTCTTAGTCCCTAATCAGGGTGAAGATCGGCAGGCTGGCCACGCGATATCGGCCGGCCACCTCGGGCACCTCATTGACGTTCAGTTTAGCGAAGGTGACCCTACCTGTAGTGCGCGCGCGGTAGCCAGCTGTCCGAGGATCGGGGCGATTATGTGGCACGGCGTGGGGTGTGGAAGTCGACGACGACGTAGTTATTGCTGGACAGCAAGTCGTCGAAGGCCCCTGGCATGGCGATGACCGTGATAGGTAACTGGGTCTTTTCCCGCGGAGCGGTGGCGACCATGGTCGCGGCGAGGGTTAATGGGTTAGGTTGTGTTGAGACTGAGCAACATTGGTTTACGGTGGTTGTATGGTAGTGCGCGTTGTCACATCTGATGATGGCGTGACGTTAGCCCTTCCATATTTCGTGCCTTGCGATTGCCGTCGTAGTGGCCGTCGTCTGTGAGCGCCAAGGCAAACAGAAAGGAAACAAGGGAGTTTTGTCAGGGCGAAGCGGTCTCCGTATAGTTCTGTCACGTTCACTGGCAATGGAGTGGTTGTATCTAAAAGCTAGCGTGCTCGTAGGTGTGTTGATGCCTAGGTGTACGCCCCCAGGTGATGGTTTTGGCTGTTGGCCGTTGGCCGTTGGCTCTGGGCCCCCTCCCATGGCTATCTATCAGTCAACAAAGCCGGAAAAAACAGGTTGTCAGCTTTTGCCGCTTAAGGAAGGTATTTCAACTCCGGCGACGGAGACCCGAGTCTAGGCACATTGTTACGGGGAACCGGCAGACCCAACCCAGTACCGGATTTGCGGCTTGGTCTCCACTCGCAAGATGTTTGTCGACTTGAAGCAATCCACCTGTTCATAGAACTGTCTGTCAAGGACATATCGTCAAATGGCGGAACGTCGTAATTTTGGCCGTTTCTGGCAGTCCGTCGCTGTGATTCCACCAGAGAAAATGACCCATCACTCGAGGCTGAACAATAGCCAGGACGAAAAGGGTTAAATCCCTCATCTCATCTGCCACGGCAGTCACCAAGAGAACTTTGTACAACTTGTTCTATTTACATTTTGACATACTTTAGCCACTTTATTGCCAGTCGTGCAGAATTTCTACTGCCTCAAAGTGCTTATTCTCAAATGCATAATCAGCCGCAGTAAGTCCTTGATAGCTAATCGCACATCTATCGGCTCCGGCTGTCAGTAACAGTACCATGCTCTCAAGATAACCGTTGGTTGCCGCAAACATAAGCGGCGTGCGCTGCTAGATATCGCCTAAATTCACGTCCGCCCCTGCTTCTAATAATATCTCGACCAGCAGAACACAGTCACCATGTGACCGGAGGCATTCGTGTAGTGGAGGCGGCGAGAACCCCGTCGAAGAGCGGTTTGGGTCGGCCCCGGCAGTGAGGAGTAGCCGTGTTCTTGTAGCAAGATCCTCGATGGTATCGCTACGTAGTATAAGCGAGCTTTCTGAAGTTGATATGTGTGGTGGCGTTGTGGACCTGTATGGTGCCAAGACGAGGTCTAGCGGCGATAGCCCATCGTGGTTTTCTCGATTAATCTCTACTGCAATATTTGGTTTCGCCTTCTCTAGTACCGCCCGAAGAATTGCTATGCTTCCGCCCTGCGCAGCGGTATGAAGCTGAGTGTTGCCGTGGCCGTCGTTGTCCAGCAGCGATTGGTTACAGACTGGCAGAGACTGACATGTGTGGTTCTTAGCAGGTCCTTTGCCCTTTATATCAACGACAGAGCCTTGTGTGTTCCCCGCATTGAGATCTGGGGCTGCGCTCAGTAGGTTGCCGTAGAAAGGTGAAGTGGTATACGCGCGTTGGGGAATATGAGGGCTTACCCCGGAGTCTTGGTTTAGCGGTAGCTGTTGTGGCCAAGCACAGAAGTTAGGCTTGAATCTGGGCTCAAAGGATTGTTCTGCACTGCTAGAAGAAACAAGACGTGCGTATCTCTGAGTACGGCTGAAGAACAAGCCGTTGCCGCCGTGGCTGACAAGCAATCTTGTGATCTCAACGACGTCTGCTCTCCATCGTGATATATCTGAGCTGCTCCAGGTCTCCATTTCATCTGTGAGGGCGGCGCCACTCATATGCATACAGCTCAGATCTAGTGGTGTCGACAACATGGCGAAGACGGCCGACGAAAGTGTTCCAGGCTTTGGTAACCAGTCACGCTGCGTTGGTAGCCCCAGCGGCGAGTTGACTTGAGCACCTCGTGAAAGTAAGACGCGAACAACCTCTACATTGGTCTGCATAACTGCCCTGTGCAGCATAGTGAGTCCCTCATGATTGTGAGCGTTAATAATGTCAGCAAAGGCTGCGTTGTCTAAAAGATAATCCACGATGGCGGCATCTAGAAGTTGGTCCACTCTACTAAGCCGTGGCCCGCCCTTGAGAAGGACAAACCAGGCGAGGTCCGTGCTGTTCCCTCTGCTAGCAAACTCACCATACAAGTGCAAAGCTTGGTGCTGATTAAGCCATTGCAAGGAAGCAACCAAGGCTTGCTGTCTCTGGCCGCCTGGCCAGGCGCGACTTGAATCTGCACAGAGAAGCTGCCAGAAGACGGAGGTGCCCGTATTAGGATTTCTTCCTAACAACTCGATCCTCTGTTCTTCTGAGCATGCTAACAGTATCAGGTTGGCTGCTGCTATGTTGCCATGGCCAAGAGCCCATGCCACTACTGATATTCCCCGTTCGTCAACCGCGAGCGGCTCTGGGCGGTGCTTTAGCAGTAGCTTGAGGAATCGTATGTCAGGCAATCTCGGTCCAGCTCGTGATACAAGTGTCAAGAAGCTTGGCATGCCTGACTCATAGAAGTCGGGTAGCATGGACTGTTCGCGACCACTGGCTCGGTGCATCAGACTCAAGCCCAAGAAGTCACTATTCTGTGTTGCGGGTGCAAGGGGACAGTGTTCTAAGATGAACTCGAAGCATCGGAGCGAGCCGTGCCGCAGGCATAGAGACAGGGCCGAAAAGGCATGGCCCCACGAGTGTCCGCCGAGGAACAATTCCGGATCGTTAATTCCATTAATAGCGCAGGGGTTCTCCAGGCTTTCGCGCAGGCCTTCATGACCTGTGTTGGCCAAGATTGCATGTGTGAAGAGCCTAAGCGCGGCAACGTCGTCGGCCATCAGAGCAGATCCTAATGGTGTACAGCACTCGCCTCCGCCAACAGGATTTGCCCCCTCGGACACGAGAGACTGCAATGTGGCTTCATAAGCTTCTTGCCAAGACAAGCCAAGCTGGAGCTTGGAGCGTACATGCATCTGTGCCGTAGACACGGACACGAGCGCCATAGTCATCACCCTATCGAAATCCCACTCGGCAGTCGGCCGGCGCCAGGAATTGGAAGCTCCAAGTCCGGAAACCGGTAATGAGTCGAGGTCGCCGCACAAACCTGGGTTCTCTTTGAGTATCTGGAGTAGCATGTCTCCCAGCTCATGCTGAAGAAATGAATATGCAAGAAAAAGCGTTGCCGGAAACAAGCGGATTGGTTCGTCTCGCTCGATGTGCAGACTCAGTATTCCTGTCGCCAGTTCTATCTGCCCATAGACAATCGCTGCTGCAAGTGGTGTAACATAGTCGATGATGCCCTCCAGCATTTGGGCCCAAAAGGGATCCCGCAAGCCCGATATACTGTCCAGTCTTGCTCCTGCCTCACATGCGACGTGAAGAAGACTTGAAGCCTCGCTATCAGTCAAGCCTTTGAACCCATGGAGTAGTCCCTCGTGAAGGTTGGCAGCCTCGGGTGTCTTTCCACTCTCGCCACACAACAGCTGTTGTACCTCGTTGATGGCACCAATTTCAAGCGCGTCCTGCAGTGTAAAGTTCACTGCAGCGAGCGGGTTCTCATCGTAGCAATATGCTTCGACAATCACCTGCGCAGACAGAAGCGAGACCTCTTGTTCTCGCGCCTTCCTGTAAGCTTCTGGCCGCTCCCTCATTGCTCGGCGGACCATGGCAAAATGCTGTGGCCATTCGGTTGATAGTCGCTCCAGTGCCAAGCGCGAGCCGGCCAATGCCGACAAAATGAGGTACAGTCGCGTCGAGAATTCTCGATTTGTGCCTACGCCGCCACTCGTGTGGCCCTTATCATCAAGAACGAACAGACTGTACAGGATACCAATTGCCGAGCCGTGTATGCCTGCTGTGGCTAAGTGTTCAAGGCCATGGACAGTGTCTCTCATATCGCCGTTTCCCTCCGTCTGGCAGTAGCCTAGATAATGGTGATAGGCTCCTTTGCGGAGGAAAAGCAGCAGTTTTCGGGCACCTTCCGATGTCAGTGAGTCAAACTCTACTGCATCAAGGAGCATATCGAGGAACGCGTGTGTTGACGGCGCTTCCAACATGTCGTCTGGAATCTCGGACGGGACCTCGCCCAAGCAAAGGTCTGACTGGCCCGACGCCTCGATATCCTTGACTTGCTGCGCCGTCTGCTGATACATGGTTGCTTTAAAGTTGTTTGATTTCGTGTAAATATCTTCCATGCTTAGTTTTGGCCAGGGACTTGGCCGATACTTCTAGATAAGTGTGAATAGCTAAACTTTAGTCTCTCTGTCTTTCGATGACTACGAAGAATAATAGCCACGATTCGTACGTACCTCGATTTCACCATCGTGAGCTAGATGCGATAGGACACCAGTAACTTCCTGCCTGCAATTCCCATGGGCGTTAACAGCTTTTCTCGCGTCATTTTTCTAATGAAGGTAACTGTACTTACTGCCCTGTATTTCGTTCAAGCGAAGTAATGAGTGGAGCGAGGAGAACAACAAGCTCGTCCACGTCCGGCCGGGCTTGAGAACAGATATGTGTCGCGAGAAGCAGAGTCTCGACCAAGAGCTCGAAATTGTCACCTAACTCGTCCCTGAGAAGCTCAAGTCTGCGCATAAGCAAGCCTCCAACACTTCCATCTTCAGTGGCAGAAATATGCTTCAGCCGAGTCATGATTTCCAGCTCGTCTTCGAAAGATTCGGTGGGTTTCGGCAAGCAGTTGTGGAGAATGCTCGAGTTTGAGGTTCCTTCGGGTAGCAGAAAAGGGTCTTGGCCTATTTGACGGTCCCACAAGCTAGCCATGACCAGTCCCAGAGAGTAGACATCGGCCTTTTCCCAGTCTACATTAGCATCTCTGTTCAAGACCTCCGGCGCACACCAGAGCGGCGTGAAATGCGCAGGTTGAGCGCCAAACACCATACCAGAACCCCCAAAATCGGTCAATTTGACAATCAATCCCCGATCGGGACAACTGTGCTCAAATACAATCATGTTGGCTGGCTTGATGTCGCCGTGTACCATTTCAGCTCCGTGGATCGCCTGGAGTCCTAGGGCCATGTCCATAGTCATGTGGCGCTTCTGAATCTGCGACGGTTGAACAGCATCAGGAGAGCAGAGAATGTGTTCGAGCGATCCATATGCACCAAGCTCCATCGCCAGCATCGGGTATTGCTCGCTGGGGTGCCAGGAAACGAACAGCAGCTGCACGATGTTGGGATGCCTTCGGAGTCTCGGGTCGCAGAAAGCATCCATCTCACGAAGAATGGAACGGTACACGTCTTGGCGTGCCTGTGGCCCACGATCGACATTGCTGAAGACTTTGAGTGCCACGATTGTGTTTTTTGGTACTCCTTTAGGCGCTGCTACGCCAGTATCGTGCTGTATGACCCTTGCAGTGAGACCTGTACCAACACTGATAACATCACGGAGGAGATAATTGCCAACGCCAATCGCGTCACTCGACTCTGAGGGGATTCTATAATAATTTGCTGCAGCGAGAACGTCGCTAAAGTCCAGCTCAACCGCGGCGGCTGCAGTCAGCTTCGCCCATAAACTTGTGGGGGTCTCGAAGCTATCAACTGATGATGAATCAGATACCGTGGATCCGCTGGACGAGGTATCCGACGTGGACGAAGCTGAGCTTGGTCGGTGGCTTTCAGAGCCCGGAAGGTCTTGTGATACATCCAATAGTCTGCCAGACCGCTCCATTTCTGTCTCTGAAGAGGCATGCAGTTTGAATGAATCCTATTGGCAGTCAGAGATGAAGAAAGTGAAGAAACAAAGTGTCATTGTGGACATAAAACGATGAATGCCAGCAGTCACCGCGGCAGTGATAAGCTAAGTTTAAATCTGAATCCTCAGTGAGGCGGACATCGTTGGCCACAAATGCTTCAGTCAGCGTGCATGCTCAAGGTTTCCAAAGCATCGCGGCTGTCGCAGGGGTGTTGAACCAATGCTCGGCCAGGGCGGTTAAGCCTTGTCCAACATTCAATGGTGGGGAATCTTTTTGAGCTCGTATTAGTGGCTTTGGACAACACACACCAGAGCATACCTGAAAAATACGGAGCGACTGCTCGTAGAGTGGAAGCGCGAAGCTGTGGAAGCGGAAGAAACAAGGCTTCAATGCAAGGTACATTGACAGCGATCACGCACGGGTATTTTTTCGAAAGGGTGGCTGAAAAGGCCTTTGCGCATTGGTTGACCAATAAATCTACTTCTCGCGGATTGGCTGTTACTTTGTATATAGTAAACTGTTATTGCTAACCCTGATAGTCACTGTAGTAATAGTCGTTGCAAATTATGATGCCTATGATAGTTGTAGAAACAGGAACGCGGATACGAAGCCCCTGGTAGCAGAAGCCGCAGGAGGCTGGTGGTTCTTTTTGGGGCGAAGCCCCCTGGCAATCGCTCTAACCTATCGAAATATCAGAACGACTAACACTGGGCTTCGCATAGCCTCACTGCCTACGCTGACTTCAATATGCTACAAGACCACTGGTCTGTTATAACTTCACATAGCCACGCTGACCTCGCTGGGCCACGTTTGGCTGAGGCCTAGTTTCGGGGGTCAAATTGAGTGGGAGGAAGGGTTCGTCATTTCTCTGAAGTTTTCCACTAATGCAGAAGCAGGGCTGAACTCCGTGTATAAGGCTTGTGGAAATTCACCAGCTACTAACCCTAGCCAACTGTAGGAATAAAACTCACTTGCCTTGTCCTGCTCTATTCGCCCTGAGCGTGCTTGGGAAACATCAGATGCAGCTTGCACAGCCCTGCCGAGCCAGCTCGTCAGCAAGCCCAAGGCTGACGAACAATATACTGTGGCAAGCCCAACAGGCCAAGAACCCTATCTGACACTGCCACTGCGCAGCAAGGCCTGACAGACCCGCCGCCGTGAGAAAGATTAAGTCACTCCAGCGTCTGACTGCAGATTGCTGGTAGTGTTGAATGCGGAATAAACAAGTCGGAAATATTTACCTGCTAGGCTCATGTGTGATAACAATAATCAATCTGCCACTTATCCTTCTTTTCATCCCTTGAACCTCTGTCATCAAATCTGGCGCATCGAGCTTACTGCTGCCAGGCACTCTCGCAAATATTCATTACAATTGGCTGCTATGTCGGGTTTGGAGATTTCAGGTGCGGTGTTTGCCGTTGTTGGTATCGCTGGAGCTTTCAAGGGCGCAGTTGACTCGGCCTTATTGATTGAATCTTTTTTCGACATCGAAAAGTCTGGCTGTAGAGGCCTTGCACTCAGCTATCATGTCGAGAAGATCAGATTACAGTTATGGGGCGAATTATGCCACGCAGACGACAACGGCACGCCGATTCTCCAGAGTCAACCAGCCTACCTCAAAGAAGTAATTGTGCGCATCCTTGGCGAGATCCGGAACGTCAATGAGCAAGCCAAGCAGGTTGTAGACAAACATAGTCTGCACTTACCTCCATTGCCAGATCTCACTCTTGACGACAACATGCAGGTTGAGAATGCGCTCCCTCGAGCGCTGGGAAAGGCGACCATGCGGCCAAGCGCTCGATTCCGATGGACTATCAAAGGAAAAGGCGAATTCGAACAAATCGTCGCCAAGCTGCGGCAGCTCGTCACTGATTTGCACGCGCTGAGTCTTCACCCTGGAAACTCAGATCTGCTCTCCAGAGCCTTGCCCCCTCGAGTAATGGCAACCATCCAGGACGCAGATCAGCTTGCACTCATCGATAACATCAACTTGCCAAACCACAGAGCATTAGCTCTTACTGCACGCGCCAAAACACTCATTTCACGCAATTCGGAAATCAATCTCAACGGCTCTGCAACTATAATCAGGACGGAGAAACTCAGCGCAAAGGGCCATTTCCTTCATCAGGGAGATAGCATCAGGTCAGTGTGGATAGAGTGGAACATACTTGATGACGAACCGGACTATCACAAATATGCCCGAATGATAAGCAACCTGGGATTTTTCCTCGAGCGTGTCGGCGATCCAGCACTTCGACTACCACCCTGCTATGGACTTTTTGATGACCAATCATATCTTGTAGAACACGGAAAGCGGCGACTTGGATACGTTTTTGGCCTTCCAACGGCCGAGCACGACGCGCCGGCGACACTTGGCCGCAATTGCTATCAAGCTGACCTGGAACGCCATCCTCCTCGCACTCTCGCTTCGCTAATTCGAGACAAGTCTTTCCCCGTTCCTTTGTTAGGCCATCGTTTCCAGCTGGCTTATGCACTGGCAGTTGCGTTCAGTCAATTCCATGCGGCCGGGTGGCTACATAAGGGACTTCACTCAGGCAACATTGTCTTTTTCCAATACGAGACGCCCGACACCCAGTCCGTGCCGGTGGATATTACAAAGCCCTTTGTTACTGGGTTCCAATATACGCGACCTCACACTGCCACCTCACAGGCTTACAGCCCGCTCGATGATAAGGATCTCCAATGTTACTACCACCCGGACGTAGCCAAGTCTGGGTTCTCACGCCGCCGAGATTTGTACGGACTCGGGGTCATACTTTGTGAGATTGGTCGGTGGACGCTAGTTAACGAGTCAGCGCCTCCGATCCGAAATTCATCCACGACAAGTAGCAGGAGTAAGAATAGACCCAAATTTTGGAGTTCTACGGAGTGGCGAGATTTCATGACTAAAAAGGTTGCTGTGGACCTTGGGTGGAGAATGGGTGATCGTTATCGAGATGTCGCCCAGGCACTGCTTCGAGACAGCCTCCCCGATGACAAGACATGTGAGGAGATGCTCTGGGTCCAGCAGTTCAGGGAGAAAGTTGTTCAGCCCTTAAGCATGTGCAGCGCTTGAGACCGTATCCACAACTCCCTTGATCACCAGCTGGCCTTCAGTGCCTTTTTATGAACATGTCAACAGCAAGCGCAAGTAGCGCTTTAGGAAGCTCCTAGCATGACGTTCTGGCAAAATTGTCGGCTGAAGAGCATTTAGGACTTTAACAACCACGTTGTCATAAAGTCTGGCTCTATAGAAGTATCGCAACACCATAAGGCTCCCAGCGCTGATGAGCTTTCTGCTCTTGGCATGCGTCCAGTGACCAGTGACCCTAATGTGGCAAGACACGTTGTATTTCAATTTGGACTGGTACACGAATGTTTAGTTCCGCGTTCTTTTAATGACCTAATACTAGTCAATCTGAGCTTGTTGCGCTGCCGGACAACGACTACATCAAGCACGTTACAGTTGACTGCCTACATACTCTCATACTTGTAGTGTATAGTCGACCAACAGTTTTAAACAGATGCTGAGACCGTGTCACGATTTGTCTCCATATGAGAAACTGACCATGATTTGTCTCATATGCATTCTTTTCACCATACTATCCTGCCACATTAATGAACTGGCAGCAAAGTATTAGCAAAAGGATTCTACCCTCGAAGAACCTTCTGCAGCCCTCATGCATGGTACCAATGCTTCGCCAAGGTCACCTCTGACTTGTGTCAATAGTGATCCAGCACTGGTGGTAGAATCGTTCTGGGAACATCACGCGAGAGGCGGATATTGCAAGTTCCTTTATTTTAGTGATTCTTCATCAAGAGAAGCCCCTTCAAAAGAAAAATAGATCCTACTATCAAAGCTTAAAGCAGTAGTTTCTATGTTTTTACAATCCTTCTACCCCGGATGTAAAGGGTTGTATTTTAAGTTATACAACATTCGAAAGTCGAGAGCGACATTCGGATCTAGCTCCCCAGCAAGTTGTAACGAGGTACTCGGATTTAGTCTTCCGCTTTTCATTCTATTAGACTTTTTCATTTTACCGCTATCTCCTTGGGCTAATAGCATTCTTTCCTTCCTTCTAAATATATTGGGAGGGGTCTTCACAGCCCCACTTTCAGATTACAACTATCCGCGGAATCGGTGAGTAATTAACGCTAGTGTTCTTTTAGCATATGCCTACCCAGGGATGTTTTTTTCCGGCGGTAGCGTGCCGATTATCCAAGTCAAGTCCTCATTCAAACTCGGTGTCGTAAATGCTCCAAAGTCTGTGTTTTCTCACTCCATTCGGTCGGAAACGTCGGAGAGAAGACCAATTAGTGTAAAGCAAGATAAATTGATTCCCAAGAGTAGTTACCTGTCTTTACAGCTATTTAAACTTGCGAACTACTACACATGTCTCTGGCATTACCTTAACTTACAGAACATCATACACGCTCACTGTTGAATTCTTTTTCACTTCCATATTCACCTAGAGCTCTTTATTTTATTGTAAGTTTAGAGCTAAAATAAACCGACTTGATCGCTAATGTTACTGGGTAGATGTTACGACCCGTTAGATACACCTAACAGGACCCACTCGGTTGGGCGGTTATGACAGGACTTTGTATGCAGGGCCACGGGAACAAAAGATAACCTCTCGGAACGGAAGAACTATAGAACGGAACAAGTCACGTGATGAATCATTCTAGGTCAGAATGATCCAAGAAGAGTTGGGGGCCAACGGATCATGTTCGATCAATATGATCTCCAACGACTACAGACAATACGTGTAGATAGACTCCTATATAGACCAGGACTTGAGTACCTGCTCAAGCCCTCTAGATAGTTCTTCAGCAATCAACTTGTGATTCATCCTCGAATGACTTTCAGCTTACCTCTCAGTATTGTGAATACTAAGAACCTCGTTACCATAGTGTAAGACTGATCACCTTACCCTAACCCTACGATCTACCAGAACGACCTCTACGAACCAGTGTTAGTCTCTTACTGCACCTTCTGTTAGCAGAACCCTACTGTCAGATAGCTGGCCGTAACATCCTAATATAACAAGGCACTTCCCCTAATACTAAAAGGAATAGCTAAAACCTACTTCTACGCCTCGATTAAAGTAATTAACCTATAGCCTAACTTCGAGACCATAATCAACTAATTAAAATCATACTTCGAGACTAAGGAAAGGCAATAAGCGTACGTTACGTAGTAGAATATAACTACTCTTCCCTAAATCATTCGTAATAACCTTAGAAAGACTAAATCGGAGTATTTTAACATACTATATAATAAATTAAGTAAGATTTAGCCTGGTTTGCTATAACAGGATTATAACGACCGATCCCTCTATACCTAACTTCTATACGCTTGTAGAGATATTCTAGAGTATGTAATAGCGTTATTTATACCGGCTAAGACGTACGAGGGACTTTGCAGCTAATTAATCTCGTCGATCGAGATAGCTACCCGTCTTAACTAATAATAATTCAACATAGTAGCTAACCTACTAGAGCAGTACTAGACTGATAGAACTTTTAATAGTCGAAGGCGTTATTTACGATATAGTCGTTTATTACGAAGTCGATTATTACGAGGAAGAAGCCGTAACAAACCCTTATTACCGCTAACGCCTAAGAAGTACTACGTATATAGAAAACCTAACTGCTAGTCAACTAAACATACTATAGAAGAGAGACGAAAAGCATACGAGAAGTTTAAAACTACCTAATATACCTAGGATACGTTACTTCTAGCATATAGCTAATTTCTTATCTAATACGAGGGTTTCGACGGGTTAGACTTATAACCTACCGCCGAAGACCCTTAGCAATACTACTACGTAACCGAACAAACTAGTAAAAGTAACGAAGAGGAAGAGACCGGCAGCGATAGTCAATTCTAGGTTACCGCTTATTTCACTATAATAGCAATTAACGGTAATAGGATCGCTACGATCCTAGCAGACTAGTTAACCTACTGTTACGACCCGTTGGACATGGTCGCCAACACGACCCCGCCTGGATCCCGGCGGCTAACGCAGGGCATATGTAACCCAGCCGACAGGTGTAACCAGGGATCCTCGGAACGGAAGAACTATGGACAAGTCACGTGGCCTCGGGGATAACGCGGGGTAGGGACAACCCGGGCTGGTTATGTTGGATATGTCAGATATCCAACCGATCCCCGGATATGTTGGATATGTCAAATATCCAACCGATCCCCGGATATGTTGGATATGTCAAATATCCAACCGATCCCCGGATATGTTGGATATGTCAAATATCCAACATAGCCAAGATAAGGAGGACCGTTCAGGACTTGTATATAGGATGGACTCGAGCCGGGCTCGAGGACAGACTTCCATAGCTCTTCAGCAATCAACTTTGTGATTACCCTAACCGGTACTTTCAGCTATACCTAAGTGACGACTACTCTACGACTCTTGTTGAGGCCTTGACTGATCACCAAGACCTTTGAAGATCTACGATCTATTCGACCAGGACCACGGAACGACTGTTACTACTCTCAATCCCTGGCTTACTGTTAACACAAACCCACTGTCAGTTAGCTGGCCGTAACACCTACTATGCTATTACGAAAGAAGACCTTTTCCGCAACCAACCAGAACCGAAAGAGCTACCTTCGCAATTCATACTTAAGGGACGCTACTCTGCCTAGAACTTCCAAGGGATCATGCCTGACTCAGGCGTAGCAGGATTCTTAACCGCTAGCTACCTACAATTCGTAGCCTTATAACAAATTTACGAAGGAATTACGTTAAATACTAAGGCAGCTAGCAGCGTTATAGTAAAATTCGGCGATAGGATACTACTAAAGTCTATAAGGACTACCAAAGTGCTAACGCCGTTTAGAAGCGTTAAATTTTACGTTATTAAGACTAATACTCCCTTCCTTATATGCCTAGGAGATATAGACCGATTAAAGGTCTACTTTAATAACGTTATAAATACCCTTATCTAAGGAAATAAGGTCGTACCTATTATTCGTAAATAAGGCTACCTATAGTTATTACTTAATAAGGAGAAACTACTTGCCTAAAACTACCTTATAGATACTAAATTGCGACGGGTTTACCGTCGCTTCGGATACCTATCTATTTAACGATTATACAAGGTGCTTTAGAAGGCTAGCTACCTAGTTGAAATTACGGTAATTAAGTAACTATCGAAAGTCTGCTATCGATACTAAATATACGTACTAGCGCTATTACGGTTTAAATTTACGTTACGAAACGATTACGAATTCAACTACAAGGTTATCGCCGACGTAATATACCTTGAAGGTAATAGACCGGTCTTCTACGTCGTCGATACCGCTACGGCGTTTAACGCTGCCTAGTTCCTTAAGGATATTTCTACGAAAGCTACTTAGGAAGCCTTACGCCTCTGCTAGATAGATATATATTAAGGACCCCTATGTTACGGTCAGCTATCCGACAGTAGGGTCTGCTAACAGAAGTTGGGGATTGACGCTAGTAAACAGTATTGTCGTGTCGTAAGTCTGGTTCGTAGGTCGTAGGCTGTGTCGTAGATCGGTAGTCAGAGGCTAAGGTGATCAATCTTAGGCTCAACAAGTATTCGCAGTGAAGGTAAGCTGAAAGTATCCTGAGGATGAATACAAAGTTGATTGCTGAAGAGCTATGGAAGTCTGACTATGAGTCGAGCTCAGGTCATACTATATACAAGTCCGAACAGTACCCTTTGTTTGTTTTACCGTTCCTGATCCTGACGGGGTCCGTTCCTCGTTCATACGGATCCCGTATGTGCCAAGGACGGACTCCGTATTCTTGGCGTACGGATCTAATCTCTTATCTTATCGTCACGTGACTTGCACCATAGTTCTTCCGTTTCCGAGTGAATCCCTGTTGTTCCTGTGATTCTGCAGTACAAATGTCCTGTTACAGCCGCCCGACGTCCAAGTGGGTCTTTCAGCTGTTATCCTTGTTTACGGGTCGTAACATCAGGTCCCCTCTCCAAAGGTCTTGTCCTCAAGACCCAACATAAGTAGGTCGTTGGTCCCAGGTTGGGGATCCGTCAATCGTGCTTCCCGATTTACCTATGATGCTGACACCATGTCAGGTCGCGTTCAAAAATCGAAACAATCCAAGTCGGCACTTCGTTCTGCTTGTGAAGACGTTTTTTATCGCTTTGGTTCTGACGACGTTATGCCGTGTACTCGCTGCTTCCGTGCAAAGCGTACATGTCGGATGGCGGAGGGCGCAAAAACTTGTCAGGGTTGTAGAAACCTGAAGCGTCCTTGTGATAGTCTCGTGGTGGCGTCTAGTCGTGAGTCTTCGTGGCGTTCGTGTGCCCGTGTGCGTGCTGATTGGTCGTAGTGAAAAGGCTGAGCGATCAGCGTCAGGAGTAGGAAGAGAAGGAGGAGCAGGCTAGTGATGCACTGCTGGATCTTCATGAAAAGTTGGCGCGGGTTCAAGCCGAGGTGGCTGAAGCGGCTGGTCGATTATCGCGGATCCGCGCGATTCGGAAGAAAGTAAAGGAGCGGCATGTGGAGACGTTTTCTCGAGGGATGCAGGAGTTAGAGGAGGACGACGTTCTTCCTGCATTGGATGCTCATGAGAGTGGTGTGGTTGGTGATCTTCAGTTTCAGGGTGTGGAGAACAATCCGGATTAGGCGAGTTTTGGCATTGGCGAGGAGTTTGCGGATCTTGGCCCTTTGTTGGGGGATTCGCAGTTGGTGTCTTCCAGTGGTTCTTAGTTGCTTTCTAGTGTTCCTAGGCGAATAAATGGTTTTCCTTGTCGTGGTCTGTCTGCTTCCGTTGGTGGTCGCACATGCTTGTGAGGTCGCCTGATGCGCTGGTAACCGGTGGTGTCTGTTGGGGCTGTTGTCGCTAGCGCTGCTGGCGTCGTTTCTCGTTCTTGGTGTTGTTGCCAGTAGGTCGCGAGTTCGTCCTTCGCATTGGTGATGTTCTTGGCTGGTTCCCATGTGTTGTCTTCGTGACCATATCCTTTCTACTTGATGAGGTATTGGTATCCTTCTGGTTCTTTAAGGTAGTCGATGATTCGTTCGACTTCGTACTCTGGTTCGTTGTCTTCCACAATGATAAGGTCGTTTGTCTATGATCCTTGTGGTGCTGGTTCGAGTAGCGAAATATGGAATGTTGGAAAACACTTTATCGTGTCGGGTAGGTCGAGTTCGTAATTGACTGGTGAAACTTTTCGGAGGATCTTGAAAGGTCCGAGTTTTTTGAAGTCTAGTTTGTCGTTCGGTCGTTTTGTTTTGATGTTTCGCCGTATGAGGTAGGCGCTATCTCCCTCTTTCAAGGTTGGTCCCTCAATCCTTCGTTTATTACTAAATTTCGTTATTCGTTATCGCACGAATTCGAGTTCTTTGCGTGCGTTGTCTTGGATATCCTTGATTTGTTTAACTATGGCGACAGCCTTGAGTGCTGCTGGGCCAGCTTGGGGTTTTCCATAGGCGGTTGGTTCAAATCCGTAGTTGAGGTAGAAGGGGGATTCCTTAGTGCTTTCTCCGATTGCGCTGTTGTAGGCAAATTAGGCTATTGGTAGGAGTACCACCCAATTGTCCTGGTTGTAATTGACATAGGCGCGGAGGTAGGTTTCGAGGATCTAGTTGACTCTTTCTGTTTGTCCGTCGGTCTGCGGGTGAAATGCGGTAGACATTGCTTGCTTGATGCCGAGTTGCGATGTAATTGATTTCTAAAATTTGGAAGTGAAGATCTTGTCTCTGTCTAACACAATTTCCTTAGGTGTTCCGTGATTGGCGATGATGTACTTGAGGAATGTGTAGGCGAATTCTTCGGCGTTGCTTGCTTCCTTGTACGGGATGAAGTAGGCGTACTTCGTGAGTCTGTCAACGATGACGAGAACGCTGTCAAAGTAGACTCCCGTAAGGGGTTCTCGAGACTTCGGTAGTTTGATAATAAAGTCGAGTGATATAGAGTGCCAGGCGGTTTGCAGCACAGGCAAAGGTTGTAACAATCCATAAGGTTGGTGTCGGGCTGGTTTGCTTTTGAGGCAAACCTCGCAATCCTTAATTGCTATTGCGACACGTTCTCTAGTGACCTTTTCTCCATATTATTGTCGTAGTCGTTTCTAGGTTTTTGTGATTCCTTGGTGACCGTATGCTAGCCGAGCGTGGAACTCCATGATTGCTTCATCGTCCAGTCCGCTAGTCGAGCTAGCACTAGATCGTCTGGCCATCATCAAGAGTTTTGTAGCAGGCACGAGGTCTCCATTCTCGTTGTATTTGAGAATCACCTAGGTCTCGTTTAGTACCGGGACATTGTAGTCCGGTCGTCGGCTAAGGGCGTCGGCCCTGCCGTTCTCTGATCCTTTCCGATAGATGATTCGGAAATTGAATTCTGAGAGGAATTCTAACTATCTGATTTGTCGTTTGTTGAGTTCCTTCGAAGTGGTGAAGTGGGCTAGGTTCTTGTGGTCCGTATATATAAGTACTTAGTGGATGGTTCCTGAGAGTTGGGGTCGCCATTCCTTGAATGCTTCGATGATTGCCATGAGTTCTTTGTCGTGGATCTGGTAGTTGAGTTCTGATCCGCGGAGCTTGCGTAAGAAGAAGCCACAGGGGTGCAGGCGTCCTTCTAAGTCTCGTTAAGATAATTGTGCTCCTAGCGCGAAATCTAAGGCGTCTATTTCCACTTCGAATTGTTCTAGTAGGTTGGGAATCATCAGGACTGGTTCGCTAGTAATACAGTCCTTGATTGTTTAAAAGGCGGTTTCCTGTTTTTCTTTCCACTCGAATGGTTGGTCTTTCTTGCTAAGGTCCGTAAGGGGTGCGTTGATTTTTCCGTAGAGTCCGATGAACTTTTGGTAAAAATTGACGAATCCGAGGAATCCTTAGACTTCCTTAAGGTTCGTCGGTGTCGGCCATTCTTTAACGGCTTAAACTTTCTTTTTAGACATGCTGATGTGTCCGGGAGTAATGGTGAATCCGAGGTATTCTACTTCTTGGGTATGAAATATGCTTTTCTCGGGTTCAACCAGGAGTTTAGCGTCTTGGAGGGCTTGAAGTACGAGGTGTACGTACTCCTTGTATTGTTCCATCGTTGGTGAGAAGATGAGGATGTCGTCAAGGTAGACGACTACGAAGATGTCCACGTATTTCCTGAGAACTTGGTTGATCATGTTCTGGAAAGTGGCTGGGGCATTGGTGAGACCGAAAGGCATGACGAGGTACTCGAAATGTCCTCTGCGTATTCTGAAGGCGGTCTTCCATTCTTCTCCTTGCTTCATTCTGATAAGGTTGTAGGCACCCTTAAGGTCTAGTGCCGTGAAGTAGTTAGCTCCGTGGAGGAGTCGTTATAGTTCTTCGATTAATGGTAGCGGGTACCGATTTTTAATCGTCATTTCGTTGAGCATTCGGTAGTCGATACAAAGTCGTAGTTTTCCGTTCTTTTTTAGTACGAACAGGATTAGGCTTCCTGCTGGTAATGTTGATTCTCTGATATAGCCTTTCTCGAGGTTTTCGTCGAGGTATTTGTCGAGGGCTTCTATTTCTGTTGGGTTGAGTCCGTAAATTTTGTTGAACTTGGGTTCCTTCCCCTCCTTAATGGGGATTTCGTGATCGAAATTCGTGTGTTCGGGCAGTCCGGTTTCTAGTTCGGCTGCGAAGAGTTTTTCGTAGACTCTGTATTCTTCTAGGATAGACAGAAGTGGATCGTCTTTTTGTTCGAGATCCGTTTGCTTCAATGGTCGTGATGCGGCTTCTTTCGCCTTAAGGTAGCAGATGTATCGTTTTGCTATTCTTTGGTAGGTAGATCTGTTTAAGGCCTGGGTTCTGCAGGGCTGCTCAGGGACTAGATCGTCGTTATCCCAATGGAGTTAGCCTGTTCTCCAATCTATCCGTGGGTTATTCTTTTCTAGCCATGGTATTCCTAACACAATGTCGTATGCACCGAGTTCGGTAATGTCGAATTGGAGTTGTTCGTTTCGATCCAGGTAACTCATCTCGAGGGGCGCAGTCTCGTTTTTGATGGTTCCTCCTTCGTACTGGACTTGTTCTCCTTCTATGTTGCTGAGCTAGTACGTGTGTTCCTTCTTCTGCCATAGTAGTCGTAGTCGGTTCACCGCTTGGGGTAACACAAAATTCATTTCGGCTCCGCTGTCGATGAGCGCGATGGTTGTCGTGTCGTTGATAGTAACTGCGAGTTGCAGGTATACTTTCTGGTCTAGGAATGCTAGACAGATGGACCTTGTCGTTGTTGCCTGTCTCGGTCCTTTATCGGTAGGCGAGTCTAGTTTTTTGACTGCTCTAGTTGTCTTGGGTAGGTGATGTGCTTCCCTTCTCGTCGTGCCTTCGTGAGGCGATTTTCCTGGAATCGGAGCCTCGGGGGGCTCGATCCTTCTTGTAGGAGTCTGTAGGCTTTTGCCTTTTGGGTTGCGTAGATGAGGCATTCGTCCGTTCGACATTCTTCCCACTTCATGTTTTTATCGTGGGTGTACCTCATGGGGTATTATCGGCTGGGGGTGAACGTGGCGATGTTGCCGTCGAACTTCCTGAGTTCCCACCCTGTAAGAGTGTGGGCGGTGTAGACGTTTCGTAGGGGGGTGTTGTCGTATTTCCTGGGTTGGAAGTGGTGTTCGTATTTTTCTCCCATGTGCGTCTCGCAGTGGTCGAAGAAGCACTAGGCCCAAAAGAGGTAGCGATGGCTTAGGTCCGTGATTCTGAGGTAGGGGTGATCTTCGATCCTGAGTTGCGGGGTGTAGTGCGTCCTGGGTCCTATGTTTGGCACGCTATAAAGTTCGATGAATTGCTTATCATTGTGCTGATTTACTTGCTTATGTGCAATGCGTTCGGGGGTGTTATCCTTCTCGGGTTCCTCTTCAGAGCTGGTGTCGTCCACACTGGGGGTGAGCCCATAGGCGATCTCCGTCTGAGCACGTTGGCAGGCAACGTCACGAGGTTCGTCCGAGTCGTAGGGTGAATCTTCTCCTTCTCCGAACGTCTAGTTGCTGGTGAGACGGAGGATTTGTTGTTCAGTCAGGGGGTCGTGCTGATATTCAGGTTCCTTATCCGAATCTTCTTCGTTCTCGAATTCCCTGATTCGATTCATTTCGCGTTGAACTTGTGCTTCGGAGTCTCTGATCCTTTGTCGGGTTTCTTTATCGTAACCCATGGGATTGTCGTAGGTGGCTTGCCTTGAGGTGATGCGTGGGGCTGACGAGCCTGCGGGTTTAAGTTGTTGTACTCGTAGCCTCCCGTCAAGTTGTTCGGTGGTTTTTCTGATCATCTTGCTGTTAGCCCGGGAGGCCATTGCAAGGGTTTTGCTAGTAGGCTAGTGTCCTGTCATTTCTTTGTCGCTAAGGTGTACAGGGCATTTGTCGTCGTAGCATCCTGTCCACGATAGGGATGCGTGGGGTGTCTTAGTTGCTATACTAGCTTGCTTGGTTCGCTCGGGTACTGGCTTCCAGTTAGGCTTCTTGGGTTGTCCGCAGTCTCTGGCGATATGTCCCATTTTTTCGTAATTGTAGCACTTGGGGTTCCAAGGTTTCTTGTCGTTGCTCTTGGTAGCGGCACTAAGGTCTATGGGTCCGCTGTGTTGTCTATAGGAAGTGCTTTGTCGGGTGTTGTTCTAGTTGTTGCGGGGTCTGTTGTCGTTCCGCTGGTTGTTAAACTTGTGCTAAGGCTGCCATTAGTACTTGCGTCCTGAGTTCGGGTTTTGTCTTTTCTCTCCTCGTTCCTTTCGTCGTTCGTAGAGGCGGTTGTCGATCTTGATAGCATGTTCGACGTAGGCGAGGAAACTAAGGGGTGTCTCTAACTTGGCCATTTCGTCCTTAACGTCATCTTTGAGTCCTTGGTAGAAGGCGAAGACCTTGCTTTCGTCGGTTATGTAGAGTCTTGCAGCTAATCGTCTGAACTCGGCGGCGTAGAGCATAGCTGACTTGGTTTGTCGCAGGTGTGATAGGTCTCGCTCGGCCTGCCTTCGCTCATCGGGGTCGAGGAAGAGGGATTCCAGGGCTTTAACATAGCCTGCGAAGCTGAAGAAGATGCTCTTCACCTCTTCGCTATATTTTTCGACCGGGTTGTCGAGCCATTCTTGTTACAGGGGCTCGAACTAGGCGAAGGCTCTTCCTCGTAGGAAAGTAGCCGCGTGCACCACGCGTTCGGTATCGTTCTGGAAAGTGTTGATGTGGAAGGCTTGGTAGGTCCGTACCTGAACCAAGTGTCCTTTAAGTTGTCCTGGGGTCCCGTCGAAGGTAGAGGGGGTGTTGAGCTTGAGGCGTTCGCGTCCTTCGACCGGGGCGGAAATCACGTTAGCGGCAGCTCGAAGGGTGTTGACTTCCTTCTCAAGTTCCTGAGTCTTGCGCGCTTGCTCCTGAAGTTCCTTGAGAGCAGTAGCGTTTTGGTTGAACATGTCGCGCATCTCCTTGAAGTCCTTAGTGGTTTTGTCGAGCTGTCGTTTGAGTTCTTCGGTGTCGTCCTCGCTGTCTAAGTCGTCCTTCATTTTCTGGTCCTCGACTTCCTGGGCCAGGCTCTGAGGAGCTTTTCCTCCAGAGGTGGATGAGGATCCGGGGGTAGGAGACTTGACAGAGGCGCGGGAAGACATTCTGTACTGTTTAGTAGGTATCAATAGTCAACTTACTGAACAGGAGCAATCAAAGTGTTACGGTCAGCTATCCGACAGTAGGGTCTGCTAACAGAAGTTGGGGATTGACGCTAGTAAACAGTATTGTCGTGTCGTAAGTCTGGTTCGTAGGTCGTAGGCTGTGTCGTAGATCGGTAGTCAGAGGCTAAGGTGATCAATCTTAGGCTCAACAAGTATTCGCAGTGAAGGTAAGCTGAAAGTATCCTGAGGATAAATACAAAGTTGATTGCTAAAGAGCTATGGAAGTCTGACTATAAGTCGAGCTCAGGTCATACTATATACAAGTCCGAACAGTACCCTTTGTTTGTTTTACCGTTCCTGATCCTGACGGGGTCCGTTCCTCGTTCATACGGATCCCGTATGTGCCAAGGACGGACTCCGTATTCTTGGCGTACGGATCTAATCTCTTATCTTATCGTCACGTGACTTGCACCATAGTTCTTCCGTTTCCGAGTGAATCCCTGTTGTTCCTGTGATTCTGCAGTACAAGAAAAACATCAACAACAGCGAGAACGAAATTTTTGAAAATCGGAGCAAAAACGGCCCCAAATACGCGTGCTCGCGGCCACAGAGCCCCCTTCGATGCAATGCCATCCTCGGCCTTGATTCTACGTCCCAAAGGGGCCCAAGATGGCCGCAGAGCACGCCCCGACTACAATGAAAAACTTGAGAGCAAGCCGCAAAATACGACATATCAATAGACAACACTGTTACTACTACCACAGGCGAGCCACAAGCCGCTACACGAAGCACTAAGACTGCGCCCAAACAATCAACTTCAACACAACAGCCGCCGACAGGTTTTGGGTCACCTGTCACCCCCGACAAAGTTTGCAACGTCCCACAACGACGAAGATGAGTCCGACAGAACAGTATCACCTTCCGCACGGAGAAAGCACCAGGCATTAGGCATGCTACGATCGATGCCACACAATACTACAGACCACAGACAGACTGGTCCCCTGTCGCCCCTTTTGCGAAGAAGGATTGGTGTCCCTTCAACGCGCGACAATGTCTGCGGAATCTGTGCGGGAGCTCTCATACCCAGTAATCGAACATGTCGGAGTCAGTAGAGCATTGTGCTTCGTGGAAGACCCTTGGGCCAATGTGGTGGAGGGCAATAGTGGTCAACAGGCAAGAAACAAGAGGCCACATAGGAACCCGGCAGGAGGCAACAAAGAATTTACAGATGCAACTGAGAAAACGGCACATACAAGTCCGGGAGGATACGGACAAAACAAAGAGACAAAGCTGAGCGCTGGGGGGAGACTGTAGGTACAAAGAACCAGATACGGTGCTACCAGCACCAACTGAACCGAAGCAGGAGGACGCAAAACAAGCATTCTAGAGAGCAACACAAAAGCGAGAAAGCAGACAGGAGAGCAACACACTTCTTCAACAGAGGGCACAAACACACAGAATAGAGAACATAGTGGGGAGCTTGGGGATAGCTGGCCCTGATGCAACATCAGGGCGAAGTGGGGCGTCGCTGTTCATTGTCGACGCTTCGGCTACCTGCCAAACCCCGCTTTCCGGGCATAGCTGCTGGCATAAGAGCGGCTTCATAACCGAGTAGGAATAAATCAATCAATCATGTTACAGCCGCCCGACGTCCAAGTGGGTCTTTCAGCTGTTATCCTTGTTTACGGGTCGTAACATAATGGTTGCTACATTCTCAGTCCCTCATGCGATCGAGAGCCCTCTTTATAGCTCTGTTTAGGCAACTAGTAGGCTAGTAGTTCCCTCCCTTAGTCCCGTCCCCTATATATATTGTACCGAAGACCTCTGATCCCCGACTCCGACTCCCGACCGCCGGCTTCCCCGGTTCCGCACGTGTTACTCTACACGCTACGCTCTGGTTTATCTCGTCGCCTTGGGCCTTATTAGCAAACCCCTAATATTTCCTAAACTGGCTGTGTTAACTATAAATTGCTGTCTCCTGTCTTGTGGTCATCGATCACACCGACAGTAGTACCTCAATTACCGATTGTTTTCTTCGACGCACCCCTCTATACCGACACCACACCGAGACCACTATTGAGAGTTTTGATTAAAAAAGACACGGAAATCTCATGGTATATCATTCCGTCTAATTGGCCGGTTATAATGAGTCTCCTAATGGCTGTAGGATCTTGTGTTCGTTATTTATCCAACTCCGTGTCTTTCATTACTAAAAGCCGTTTGGTCTTCGTGTTTCTAAGGCCGAAACTTAGATATACTATCCGCAACACGATAAGGTTTGCTTCAGGGCCTGTCTCTATATCATACATGGTGCGATATTTAAATGGCTTTATCTCCGAAGTTTAATGCATACTGTGCAGAGTTGCTAGGGCAGGAGGCCTAAGCATAGGCACAGGCTCAACGGTATAGTTCTGACAATTAATGTTAACAGGCTATCCCTGGGTGTCTGAATGTTGACTTAATTACTTGCCAACCACTATATAGATCTTCTAGCCTAGACATTTCAACTGTCTAGCCACTTAAGGGTATAACAATAGCTTTCAAATTATACACTTTAATGAAAATCTAGCAGCCATTACTCGCAATAAAAATCGAATTTTGCTAGTTTATTTGCTTAACAGAAGCCTTCGAAAGGAATAGTACAAAAGATACCAGCAATTATTCTGCTAAAAACCATTAACTATAATCTTAAGCTGATGTTTTATATAAATATAATTTTATTAAATGGATTAATGGTTAAGAGATATAATGTTAAATTTAAAAAACATCTTATATTAACTGAAGAGGCAAAGATAAGCAAAATACAAGCCACAAAGATCATCATAGAAAGTTAACTAGTATAAACTCAGCTTTTGTTAATTAAGATCTTTCATAGTTCAAATTCTATATTCCATGGTCACGTATGGCTGAAATATCTGATTGTCTCCACCTTTAACAAGTATAAAGGCAAGCAGCTTCTCTCTGATAACACCTAGTCTAACCTATCCAGACGAACGGTTTCCTTTCAAAACCGAAGTATCCTCTATTCACTCACATCGAAAATCATGAAGGTTTCCTCGCTTTTCATTACCCTTGTGGTACCATTGACGGTCCAGGCCTACACTGGCACTACATTTGCGACAAGAAACCAGTGCATAGCTAGGTGCCCCAGCGTCGTAAGTTTTACAATATGTTAACTCTAGATATATGAGTTTTTGCTAATCTAGATTATAGTGCAGTTCCCATGGTGACTTTTATGACGGTTGTTCAGGCACCGGTGCAACGTAAGTCAGAATGAGAAGTGTGTCCTGAGAGTAACAATTAACGACAAGCAGCGTCTATTGCAACTGCATGGTAAATACGAAGCCGTCTGTTGGTCAATGTGGAAGTGTCAAAAACTGCAAGGGGTGTTGCTTGTCAGGCAACTGTTGTATGACAGCTTCTTGTGGCTGTCCGTAGTCGTGCGTTTGTTTTTAGCATGGTCTACCTAGAGGAGGATTACTGTTAGTAAGACTATTCATTTCTCTTTGGTCTGTATGATTAGTTCCTCAACTCGCATCCAATTCTCTCTCAATCGTCTATAGGCATCATCACACTAAGTAAGGATACCGTCGGTTTTCTTCTAGTAAAAGTTCACTGTGTTTCTTTGGAGATTTCATGACAGACCAATCAGGCGATGTAAAAGTCTGCTCTCTAGGTATTTGTCGAGACAGCTGTTGAACAACGCGCCCCTGTTACGGGCTATGCCCGGTTGATAGCTATGCCGTTATCCCTACTTAAGTACAGCCAAGAAACACTTAAGACGACTTGTTATTCTATATTCTTTTGGGCGTTTAGCTCAACGAGGTAGCACCTCTATTATTAATATGTGCTGGAGGCTAGTGTGCGGCTGCCACTGCAACCCCGTAGGCGGGGTCTGGCCCTTCACACCCCCAACCAAAGCTTCTTTCAATGAATTCATCACTAAGATGCCCGTCGGTAGAATACGCTATAGCCCTTAACTAACTTAGTGCCAACAAATTTTAGCGCCACTATTATTATTTGAGGTACGAAATATAATTTATATAACTAAGGTGTTCAAGCTTAAATATGAAGCGAACGGTTTAGCTCCCACTTTCACGGCTCAGAAGCAGTTATTCAGTTCAAATCAGACATCAATTCAAATATGTGAGTGAGCAGTAAACGTGCAATTGATATCGCCTTTTGTTTTTCTTGGTGGTTGGATTCTATAACGCTCTGGAATAAAAGTCCCAGCCCTGCGAGAATCAAATTCAATAGCGATTCATAAGTCAAAGAATCATACAATAGTAAAAGCGCTCGACTTGTTTCAGTCCTAAGAGTAAAGTAATCGGTATGAGACGTATTGAGATACCCCCACGACATGTAAGATTTGGATATTCCACTAGCAATGTAGTCTTCATTTAGTCACCTTCTGCGAGGAGTAATATAGCACTGCGTTATGATTATTCCTCCTACAGTGCGAGTTTGTAAGCAGTAGACCTAAAGTCGCTTTGCGTCCACGCAGAAGCCGCCGGCAGTTGAGTTGCACTTAGCGAATCCGTGAGTACTTTTAACCTTCAATACTTTACTAATAAAGAAAGATATCCTCTTTTCAATCGATAATTGAATGCAAGTACGGTGTAAATACACTCGTTGTTGCATAGCATTAAAGGATGTCCGGCAACTTACGAAGCGATTCTCATTCGTGAGCGCATTACCTCCGCATTCAATAGGTGGATACCTTAACTGATGTGCTGAGCTAATCGGGGTTTAAAAACCAGATCGGACCATTAAGCTCTTCGCGTAAAGAATTGATCACATCTACGTTAACTACCTTACCTACATTTACAAACACTGCTACCACGTGGTAAGCAAAGTGGCCACTCTGGCGACGCAAATTGGCATCCACTTAGCAATAGTTAAATCATTTGCTACACTGATTACCCCTTTTCGGATCCGTACCTTCAGACAAGGCCTTTTACCGTAATGATGGGGTTTCTCAGATAAGCGCTCGTGCCAAGTTAATTTACTTGAAATGGAGGAGGGTCGGTAATAACGCCTTGCCTATTTAAGCCTGAAAAAAAAGGAGTGAATAAAAATATGGTGCAGCTGAAGAATCCGGCCAACACACCCTTCATTATCAAAGGTTGCTAGGAAATTGAAAGTATCAATCTCAGTAAGCATCAAAGGCTGGGCCTTGGAAATGCGACGGAACTTATCGTCTAGCTTGCAACAACCGGAAAGCAACTACAATAACCGTTTTTCGAATCGCTAATCTCGCTGCATCAACCACGATGCTACGGCAGTCAACTCGTAGCGCGAATTGCCACCTTGGCTGTTTGGCGTTGCTGTTCTTCTTTCTATCTTTTGCGCCATCTGTCACGGCGTTGGAATGCTCTATTGACTACCCAAACACATTTGGTATCGTGAGTAAACGCATTCAAATCTAATAAGTCAATTTCGGCACTAGCGGAAACTTTTATGTGCACAGAATCTAGGGCATTCCCACTCTACAGTGTCAGTGTTTCATCAGGGGGCTGTTAGGTTACCTGTCAAGAACCAAAGTTCGTAGACCAAGTCCTATGTTGACTTACCTTCGCATGCAATGTTTAACAGCGCGACAGTTACCGTCCCGATTCGTCCAAATCCCTTAGATGAACCAGAGCTATTTCTCTCAGGCCAAGAGTCCAGTCTACAAAGTGGATTGTTTAACACAAGGTAAGTATTTCTTATTCTGATTCATCTCTACTTGTAGCTGATAAGTTACAAGTCACAAGGTTTGCCACCCTGAAGAGCCGCAGTATTACATCGCTCAAACATTCGAAACTTCAATTCCAGAGCCAAATACTACGTCTGTTGCAGGCGAAAATTTCCACCGTTCGCTCTCCGTTATCTTCCGACAGATGCGCGGCGTCGCTGAAGGTTGGTTTGGAGACAGTTCATCATTTGCTGTTGTCACGGTGCCACAAGCTTGGTACAGTGACGAGGTTCAGAAGGCCATAAAAACCGCTGGCGAGGCAATTGGCCTCGACATCGTCCAAGTCATCAATGCGCCCAGCGCTGCGGCCCTAGGTCACCGGCTGGACATTGAGCCTTTGAACGATGAGAAGGTTTTGGTATACGACTTAGGCCGTTATGCATTTGAGGCGACCGTGCTCGATGTCAACTACGGCGTTATCAATACAATACAATCATCGCGAAGCATTTTGGACGGGGCAAGCTCCATTCATCAACAGAACCCCCTCGAATACAATGAACCCGCGATTAAACCCCTTTTCGAGGAAACAATCTCACACGTTGAGAAGATTCTTGCCGACGCTAATCTCACCATAGAAGACATCTCAACCGTAATTCTTACGGGACAAGATGCTGGACATTCGCAGGTTCTGGAGGGCTTAGACACGTTTCTTAACCCTCATGACACCAGAGATATCGCGTATTATATTCTCGATTATACGGATGATGCCGTCGCCGTTGGTACCGCGTACCAGGCTCTTCTGATGTCCAGTGAGACCTGCGAAGAGGCGTCGTATCTTCCTGCCATTCTGGACCGCGCCCTCGGTGTAGGTGTCCTTGGGGGCATGACAACTCAGATGATCAGGCGATACTCCGCTGTCCCGCTGGAAATGACATACAATTTTACCACGACCCTTGATAACCAGTCTGATGTCATTATACCGGTCTTACTCGGCGGCTTCGTTTCCTCCGAACGGAATCGGCCGATGGGCACCCTTAAGTTGGCCGGCATTCCCCCAGTCCCTCGTGGCGAACCAACCATCTCGGTTCGAATTCAACTCGACGAGGACAGCACAGGAGACATTGTCCTGAGCGCTCATGCTGCCTATTTGGACAAGAACGGCAGAGAGATCCTCAGCGACAGTTTAGTTCGAGACAACTGGTTTGGTTATGAAGATCCAGACCTGGAAGAAACCATTGCGGAGGAACGCGCCGACGATCTCAAGGACTACAAGATCTGCACCAACCCTGCTATGCGCTTCGAGCCTAACGCAGTTGTCAGGAGGGACTATAGCCAGTTGGACCAGTTTTGGACGACAAAAGTTGCTGCGAGAGAGTTTGAAGAGGGCCATTTCGCTCGCGCCCTTTGCTTGTATGAGAAGTCGCTGCCGTACTTTCCCATCGGCCACAAAGAAATTGCAGCCCAGATAAGGCGCATTCGACGCGTTTTTTCCACTGATAATGACGATACAGCGGTTTTAGGAGCGGATAACCCGTTTACAACGCCCTCTCGAACTGGCTGCTAAGTCGGCATGCGGATGGTGTCAAAAACATGTATTGCTTGTGAGGATGCGCTCTATCAAAGCAATAAGTGTTATTAAACAAAACCTATGAAAGCTTTCGCCTTTGTAGAAGGTTGGCTTTCATATCATTATTATAAACGAATAAAACAGATAACTATCATTCCTCACATATGTTATTATCCCGTGGACTGGCACGTATAATGTCAACCTGAGTGTTTGGCAGCTACAAGAATGTGCTACGATGTTGATCGAGCTATCCGTGGGCCCCTATCTGCGTCTTCTCAACAATAACGTCATTGTTACCAGTAATTTCTGGAAGAAATCGTTAGTGAGGGACAAGAGCGGAGCATATTCTGGGGCGATAAGGCTGTGCAAGTGGGTTGTCTACGGCAGTCCGCAGGGCGCACTGGGTCAAAATTCAATAATTTCCGCATCGGGTCAATAGGTCTACACCTAAGGGGAGGATTTTTAAAAGGCTCTGATTGGCTGAGAATTACAGGCACTTGCGCGAGTCAAGAGCGAAAAGGGTAAATGCGGGCAGTGTAATTATATATGGGGTAGTTGAGGTAGTTAAGGCAATTAGGGCAGTTGGGGCAGTTAGGGCAGTTAGGGCAGTCAGGGCAGTCAGGGCAGTTAGGGCAGTTAGGGCAGTTAGGGCAGTTGGGGCAGTTAGGGCAGTCAGGGCAGTCAGGGCAGTTAGGGCAGTTAGGGCAGTTAGGGAAGAGGGCAGTTAGGGCAGTTGGGGCAGTTAGGGCAATTAGGGCAGTTAGGGCAGTCAGGGAAGTTAGGGCAGTTAGGGCAGTCAGGGAAGTTAGGGCAGTCAGGGCAGTTAGGGCAGTCAGGGCAGTCAGGGCAGTCAGGGAAGTTAGGGCAGTTAGGGCAGTTAGGGAAGTTAGGGCAGTTAGGGCAGTTAGGGAAGAGGGCAGTTAGGGCAGTTAGGGCAGTTAGGGCAGTTAGGGCAGTCAGGGCAGTTAGGGCAGTCAGGGCAGTTAGGGCAGTCAGGGCAGTTAGGGCAGTCAGGGCAGTTAGGGCAGTCAGGGCAGTTCGGGCAGTCAGGGCAGTTAGGTATTAGGGTTAAGGGGGGAGGCGCTATAGCTATAGCGAGGTAAGTATTATAGAACACTATAATTATAAGTAGGGGATTACTACGGGTATAAGCCGGGAGTCAGACTTTAGCAGGGTTCTAGGGTTGACTTTTTATGGGTATACAGGCACGGGCTCCATACTTACCTAAAATTTCTAGCCACTCATATCTTATCGATAACACACCTTAGTGGAGACATTAGCCATATTAGGCAAGTTCTACCCCTCATACCGTATACCTACTAATTTATTGAATTTTGACCCAGTGGTCCCTGCGGACTGCCGTAGTCAGTGCCAACTTCGAAGCACGACTTGAATGAATCTTTCGTGAGAAACATGCGCCTTAACTAGATTTTCTTCTTATTCGCTCATCGTTCCGGCGTACCCTTAAATCCCACCTTGACGACCCGTTCATTCAAATCCCTATCTATGCTAGACAATAGTAGGGAAGCCGCAGTTCGTGATTGACTCCATCCACGAGGAACAGGGCCAACCAGACACACGCGGCATGGAGCAGCTTCCCACCCTCAGGCACTGCCCCAAACGTTCACACAAGAAGGTTCGGACAGGATGTACTAGCTGTAAAAGAAGAAAAGTAAAGGTAAGGAGGGGCCAATAACTGGGCACCTGGGCCGATCTATGGATTAGCAGTTGGGTCTTCTAACTGAAATATCGGGCAGTGTGATGAAAAGAAACCAGAATGCAGCCAATGCGCCAAACAGAGCATCACATGCGATATCATTGCGAAGAATTCGAGACGTTCTTTGGTTGAACAAAAGTCCTTGAATATTCCTACTCCTTCTTCTCCCTTGCCGGTCAATCTCAACATGCTTGACCTTGAGCTTATTCATCATTGGACACTCAATACTTATGATTCATTAACTATCGACCCGCTCCTCCGGACATTTTGGCTAAGGAATGCCGTTAGAGTCGGTTTCCGTTGCGAATTTGTCATGCGGAGCATTCTCGCTCTCTCCGCCATGCATCTGGGGTATCTCAACCCTGCACGAAGAGAGGAGCTTACCCAGCATGCCCTCAATCACAATAACTTGGCAGCTGCAGCAACACGGGCATCAATCTATCAAGTCGATCAAGTAGAGGATACCGAAATGCGTGAAAACCTTTTCTTGTACTCCGTTATCATACTGTTTTACAGTAAGCATTCACCATCAGGCATCATTTAACTCGTCTGGAATCGCTCATACTTGTAGTCATCTCGCAAATAGAAAACCCCCATGATACTTTTTTCGGCCGAGCAAATCTGACGCAGCAATACACACCAGACTGGATGATATTCTTCAAAGGTTGTCGCCATTTAGCGTTGGCGTCCGAGTCGTTCTACATCAGCAGTAATCTCATGCACCCCTTTGTTAACCATCAGTTGGAGATGGGTTACTATTATCGACAAAAGATATCACAGGGCCCCCACCTTACCACTCTTCTGAGGCAAATACAAAATATCGGAGACTGTTTTACGCCTTCTGAAATGGCCGCATATACGCACGCCATTCAAGAGCTAGAAGCGGTATTTGGAGTGCTAGCAGAGTTCCCAGAGACCAGGGATATGTTGCACGCGTTCTTCTGGATTAGCAACGTGTCAGATCACAGAGGAGACTTCATTGCGCTGCTTCAGAAACCCAATCCCTCACAAGAAGCACTGGTTATCTATGCATACTTCTGTATGATGACACAACGTCTTCCTGTACGCTGGTGGGCAGACAAGTGGGTGCAGGGACTCGAAAATGGAGCACTTGACTATCTGGACGATGAACATAGAACTTGGATAGTTGAACCACCAGCATGGGGCAAATAGCCCAACAGAGAGATTTAAATGCTTCTGAACATCACAGCTGCCCGTGGCCTGTCATTGGAAAGTAAGATAGCCATTCAAGCCAAGGGGGCTTCTTACTTCAGTCGTCAGATTCTCACAGAAATCACGCTTTACGTGAAGGCGTAAACATACTTTTACATAAAAGGTGCCCGGTATGTGACTGCACTTGAGTCTCCTGTTTGTCAACTGCTTCGTTACCAAATATCAAGGCCCAGGATGTCGTCGCGTCCTCCGACTCAAGTCATGATGTATCATTCAATGCGAGGTCAGGTAAACTGCTTCTACTAAACATAAATTCATTGCAATACTCATGTGTCATTAAGGTCATGACTACGGATACTTCATAAGGGGATTATGTTTATTAATTACAACCTCGTGCCAAGCTCATCATGTATCGCGCGAGGACCACCGGATTTCGGCTGGCACCCCAAGCTTATCCGTCGCCTTTGTACATTGATCTCTCAACAGGCCCTCCTTTATGCAGCAACAGCCTCCTCCTTGGGCTTCTTCTCCTCAACAGTCTCGCCGTTGGTCTTCTCGCCGTTGACCTTCTCGGTCTTGGCGGCCTCCTCGCGAAGCTTCTTGAGCTCAGCCTCGAAAGCCTTTGCACGCTCCTCGGCGGCAGCAGCGTCCTTCTTGGCGGCCTCAAGGTCCTTGGTCAGGGAATCGCGAGCGGTCTCAGACTCTTGAGACTTCTTCTCAGCCTCTGCGGCCTTCTTCTCAAGCTCCTGAGCCTTAGACTCGGCGTCTGCGACCTTCTTCTCGGACTCTTGAGCCTTCGACTCAGCGTCCTGGGCCTTCTTCTCGGTGTCTTGAATCTTGGTCTCAGCCTCCTTGGCCTTTTCTTGCCAGCTTGCTGCGTCCTTCTTGGCAGTCTCCAATTCGGCCGAGATGTCGTTCTTGGCGGCCTCGGCAGACTTCTCAAGGTCGGCGTGCTTCGACTGGAGCTCGGCCAACTCCTTGCTCAAGCGAGAGGACTCCTCAGTGGCATCGGACTGAGCCTTGTCGTGGGTCTGCTGCAGAGTGGTGTGCTTCTCCTCAAGCTCAGAAAGAGTCTTCTTGGTAGCGGAGTGCTGCTCCTCAACGTCAGACAGGCTTTGCTTGGCGGCAGCAAGCTCAGCGCTGGAATCGGACTGGGCCTTGTCGTTTGCCTCCTGGAGAGCCTTGTTCTTCTCCTCCAACTCAGCGACGCTCTTCTTGGCGGCCTCGAGCTCGGCAGCGGACTCGGCCTTGGCCTTCTCCTGCTCCTGCAGAGTAGCGTTGTACTTCTCCTCCCATTCGGCGCTGCTCTTCTTCGCAGCCTCCAGTTCGGCGGCGGACGTCTCGTGGGTCTTCTGGAGGGTGTTGTACTTCTCCTCCCACTCGGCGACGCTCTTCTTAGCCGCCTCAACCTCGGCGCTCGACTCAGACTGAGCCTTCTCCTGGGCCTGCTGCAGGGTGTTGTACTTCTCCTCCCACTCCGAGGCAGTCTTCTTGGCGGCCTCGAGGTCGGCAATTGAGCTCTCCTGGGCTTGCTTCAAGCTGGCAGACTTCTCTTCGGACTCGGCAAGGGTCTTCTTGACGGACTCGAGCTCGGCAGTAGACTTCTCCTGGGCCTGCTGCAGGGTGTTGTACTTCTCCTCCCACTCCGAGGCAGTCTTCTTGGCAGCCTCGACTTCGGCAGCAGACTTCTCCTGGTCTTGCTGAAGCTTGTTGTGCTTCTCCTCCCACTCGGACGCGGCCTTCTTAGCGGCCTCGATCTCGGCGGCGGACTTCTCCTGCTCCTGCTGGAGCTTAGCGTACTTCTCCTCGGCCTCGGCGAGGTTCTTCTTGGCAGCCTCAACCTCGGTGTTGGAGCTCTCCTGGGCTTGCTGGAGCTGGGTATATTTCTCTTCAGCCTCTGCCAGGCTCTTCTTCACAGTCTCGAGCTCAGACTCGTGAGCCTGTTGCTGCGTCTTCTGCTTCTCCTCGGCCTCTGAAAGGCTCTTCTTGACGGACTCGAGCTCGGATTCGTGGGCCTGCTGCAATTCCTTCTGCTTCTCCTCGGATTCGGCGAGGCTCTTCTTGGCGGCGGCAAGTTCGGCTTCGGACTCGGACTTGATCTTGTCGT